AAAATGTCATGCCTGAGAAAAATGAGACGTTGACAAAAAGTGAGGTTATTTTTTTCAAGTACAGTACATTGACTAATGTTTGTATATGTCCACTTTGGAGGAATGCGCAAAAATTCTGAAGAACTTCATTGTCCACTGGAATGTTTGATTGGTGATTATTTAAAAAAATTAATGGATTTGATTCTTCAGAAGATATCTGAGGCATGAGTAATAATAGAAAAAAAGCATTCCAGAGATAGACTCTCTACAATTATCTTGCCCACAGCAGCTTACTTACTGGAATTAATTTCATTTTTTTCCATATGGTTCCTCTAATACAAAATTCTCTCCACAAAGAATTTTTTATAATCCCCTGAATCTTGTTGCAGAGAGAGAGTATACCTGTATCAGAATTCTCATTCTATGAATATCTTAACCTGCAGTTGATTCTATCAAAGAACCCCATCAAACTCAAAAGCTCTCCCAAGTCCTAACCTACAGTAATTGCTAATTTATCATCATCTAAAAAGCAGGTTATATTTCAGCAAATTCAGGCGAAAATTTGACCACACTCAGTAAATAAAAGCTTCTCTATAGCAATCCAATGAATTTGAGGAGCTATATAGACCTGAGAGAAACATGCTTTGGATAGATGAAGAAAAACGAGTTGTTATATATAAAGCAAGCATGACGGAGAGGGACAAGTGTGTATGCGGGCTCCGGCTGCTTTCACATACGAGAGCACCAGAAGATATTAGGCTGCCTTGGACTAGTGCCAACTCCGTGTCGCAGTGGTAAGGCGCAAATTAAACAACTTCCATCTTCCCGCTTCATTAAGCCCATTTCAAGCCAGTCGGACTGGTAGCTTAATTCGGTGTCATCAGCCGCGTAATCCGGGTTAATTGGAATGCATCCAATTAGCCACTTGTGAACATGTTCCGGGATATCCGATCCCTGATTGTTTGATCCATCGCCCCGCAACCGAGCAGTGTATCTCGCGGAATAAAACTCGGAACACTTCGAACGTCACTAATTCAATCACGTTTCTAATCTTCTAAGCCTCTCCTGATCTGTATGTGTTCCACCATGAAATTGGCGGCCTAATTTCATCCACGGTCGCGAAATCATTGATTTTGTTTTACTCTGCTTATCTTGAAGCCAAGCTTGCACTGTACTGTATATATTTAATCCCGCGAACGTCGTTCGAAATAATGCTGGTTTACTATACCGTGAATATTCGTTAATTATGAATTAATCTCCGAATCGGCACGTTTCGAACGTCACTCACGATTTTAGGAATCCGGAAACCTGCTTCTACATTAGTTTTCGTGCGAATAATAAATGTCAAGTTTTACATGATGTGCAAGACCATGAGTCATTGATATCGTAACAAAATGTTTCATTTTGTTGCTTATGTATGATCATATCCTTTGTTTGGGAGTTCTTTCTGGATTCAAATCCATTGCATAGTACTGGTGAACGTTATTATCATAGCTCACAGCCGAAATTCCTTCTGTGGGATAAATATAATACTACTGTATCATCATTCCGTGCTAATCTGACATCATGCTACGTCGCTAACTCGTTCGATATTCCGTTAATTATTTTTCAAGAATTTCCCTAGTACAAACTCCGAAGAGGGACATATGCGATTTACCGGTAATCACGACAAAAGACGTTGTTGTCTCTTTTTAGTTTTTTCATTCTGGAGGTATTCTTTTTGAAATTTTAGTACGATGTATAAAGAGGAAGAGGAACTGATTTGAGTTTGGAAAGAAAAGCCTTCCCTGCCTTCAAGCACAGTATAAAAACTGAAAGCACAAAATTATAAAATTCCCCATGATTTACACTTTTTACAGCATTCCAACTTGCAACTAAGTTTTACTTAGTGGAAATCCTGACTAAAAATTAGCTTTTACTGCACGGTGCCGGAAATACATAATGTGTTTAAACGAATATTCCCTTTAATTATATCAATTGAACTAATCAGGAACCATCGAAAAATGTTGTGATCACGGCTGAAAACGAATTTTTCTCGTCTTGAAATAGCACGTTCACGGATAATTTTCAAGTCTTAGCGTTGCATTTGAACCTCAACATGCTAAAAAAAACTCTATTTCAAAAGGGAATTCTGTATCTTATATTCAAACGTCTTATCAATGAAGACGTGTTTTACTGTGGTATAGTAATACTGTACAACCGTTCCCAGCCTCTTATTAAAACGAAACTGGGACTTCAAACGTAACGGGGAATCCCTAAATTGTTTGTCGAAGTGAGTTATCACCTTCCAATATTTAGCTTCAATATCACTATTCAATGGAAATAATATGGAATTATTCGGTCGAAATAATGACAGCTTTCTGCTGAAGACTGGATGTTCGTGACTAAGGAAGCGAGGACTTATGTTTTCTTTCTGATCAGTTTGGTACGCGATTGATGTACGGGATGTGTTTCTGTGCAACACTGATAACTTTATCCAGGGGAGCAGAAAAATTGTCTTCTTTTTTTAAGTGAAACTGAAGTTTTCCGATTCAGTCGAACGTTTTCTGCCGAAGAAACGTGCAGCTGTCTCTCAAGATAAATGGAGAAAGCAGAAAGAAAATCGAATCCGACGTTAACACACAGCTTTCTTCGGGTGGAAAGCTTTTCGGAAACGGCTTCAATGGATTTCACCCAATCGGAAACGAAATCGCGGGGGTTCCTTGAAGAGCGGATTTTTCACAATAGCACCAGAAACTCGTCTTTGGTTCACTGCGAATCCTCACTGAGGTTTCAGTGAGATTCCCCCTAGGCATTGTCCTCACCAACCTGAACCTTATTTGGGGGAAACAGTTCGGTTCAAAAATGTAATTAGGAGACCTTTGAGAGCTGTTCAGTGTTCACATACAATATTAAATATTTTTTCTGTTGTTGCTCATGTTTGGCCATGTTTTTAATGTTTGACCGGATCCTTCGAGTAAGACAAGCATCTTAGTTTTTCCTTTAGACTTTTGGAAAATGCCCATCCCTGTAAATGATGCAATCCGAGTGCGCTCACTTGAAAAATAAAGTACTCCAGTCTTGTTTTTGTTTTACTGCATATGAATCATTTAAATAGAACTCAGAAAACATATTTTGGAAGCTGGAAAATTTTTTTTTATGAAATTTGCACAACATGATACATGCATTGCATGACTCGATTGTCACATCCATCTTTTCCTGAAATGTTGATTTAAAATGTGTTTGATTATAATGTGACCTTGTTTTTTGTCCAAATGTATTTTGAAAAGGGGCACATGGTACTTATATAAATATGATAAGCACCCCTTCCTACTCCACATTGAAAGAAGCAAGCTGGTGTATTAGACACTATAAGAAATTATTTTATCCTTTCAAGAACCATTTGCAGTTTTAAAAACATTGGTAAGAATGGTCCTCAAGTTTTCATATTGAAAGTTACTTGTCAAATGTACGTGCCAAAAATAGGGTGAGCATTTCATTCATGACCAGGAGGTGGTGCACTTCAAATACAGTGGGACCCTAAGATGTGGATGTAATTGGTGGTTGGACTGTGTCCCTATGCTGGAACATCCAAATTTTGGACCATGTCTTCTCACATAGACTTCAAAGGGAATATTTTTCTGGGTTATTTTATGGAGCATTAATTAAGAAAAAGTCACCCCAAAAGTTAAAAAATATTTTTTTCAACTTCAAGATACAGAAAAGGAATTTACAGAAGAAAACCACAAGTAATCTGATATTTTGGCATCAGAAGGAGCTGCAGAAGCAAAGAACAAGAACAGGCTTTACTATAATGAGCACACCGAATTAAGAAAAAACAGAAAAACACATTATTAGTTGGCTTGTGTTTCTGACACTATTTCTTTCAGTGCTGCAGGTAAAAATTCCCAGTTGACCTCCCAGCAAATTTGACCATCGAATTGCAAAACAGACAAATTTCAAGGTTTCACCTGTATTGTCTATAAAACTCTGGATGTTGGGTCCAATTTTTTAAAGATTCAAGTATTCCCAAGTTGAACTATCCATATATGTCAGGGTATCCACATTTTGGGGTCTTATTGCGCAGTGTTGCATAATAAAAGGGAATTTTTCAGCAGAGAAGATGGGGCCTTTCTTTGGGGAGTGACATGATACATGGAGTAAGGAATCTTAGGATTTAAAGAATCTGAGATAAACCAACTCTTCAGTCCCAGCTCAGCAGGAACAAGTTTGCTGGGAAAATGCAAAATTTGGACAAAAAATATCACCAGGATTTCATTCTGATGTTCAGCCAATCTGTGCATAAATCTTCGAAAAAATTATATTTTCTCAAGCATGCTTTCAACACAAACATTTAGGCTCTTTACAGTCTTCATTCTATGCAAAATTAAAAATGACCATCCTTATCTTATACTGTATAATGCCTGCATTTGTGAGTACAGTATGCTCAAAGGAAACATTTGGTTACTTCCGAAAGACTTCATAATTTTTCCAATTTGTATTAAATGGCAGAAAATACTGAAAAAGTGAACTTTGTTCCATATCTCCCACAGTTGCAGACTTCATACAAACCAAAAATGTCTTGTGTAAACTGTGCCTAGAGCGATCAAATGACGTTTATCCACCAAAAAAAAACATGGTTTGGCCTAAATTCCATTGCAATATTTTCAAAAGCGAAAAATGTCCCTCCATTGAGTATGAAGAAATCATGTATAGTCTGCAGCAGTGGTTTATCGTTTGTATATCCTTGAGAAATGTCCTTCACAGCACATACAGAACAAATTACGCGAAATAGACTGACTGCCAAATCCTTGAAAAGACAAGGCTCAAAACAATCAATAATATAAAAAGCATATTTTTTGTATCTATATTTTACTTGAAATATGAAGATGATAGCAGTCGAATTTGTCGCATAGGTTCATTCAGTCAATACCTATTAGGACTCAAAACATGATAGGATAGCATGGGTACTATCTCCATCGTCCAGGGAAGATTTACAGCGAAACAATTGTGGATGGTTTCAATGATATTGGAACACTAACCTCATTTAAAACGTCTCCAGATTCAGACACAGCATAGGTTTCACCACGATTCCTTCTCAAAGATGCGCACTTCGTCGATTGTGAAAAGATCTGATGATGAAATGAAAACAAAGGAAGAAATCGTATCACAAAGCGGAACACATCAAAGCTGTGCTTAAAAAAACTGTTGAGCCTTTTTGACGGGAAAGCTCCAATTGATCGAGAAATATTGCATCATTGATTCAAAAATTGTTCATACAGCATTTTCTAGCCAGACTTTCCTTTTTTCGAGTTTCAAAAAATCCGTTAGAATTCATGAACGCATGGAATATTCAAGAGAAAATATGAACTATAAGTCGGCGATACCAAAGTTAGTAGATCCGGTTCCATCGAATCGGAAGGCCACTATTATGTGAAATACAGTACTGTACTGTATCAATAAGTCAAAAATATAATGGCTGTTTAGACAGTGGTTCCAGACCGAAAGTGCTTCAATTTGGTGGGAAAATTTCAACAAGGAATCCTCGTAAATTACCGAGGACTCCTGGGAAATTCCAAAAATTTTACTTGTGACAAGAGTGAAAATTACCTCGTAATTTTTACATTTACTGGCGATGGAACAAAAATGCATCACCTCGGCAGAAAAGTTCGCTCGTCATCTCATGTCATCAAGATCAACGGAGACAAACTGTCTTCATTTTTCTAGTTCACTGGTCTTCAGATAGACTCACGAAATCCTTTGATATGCTTCTGAGCCTGTTCCGGTAAACAATCTTCCACCGTGAAGGAACACGAAAATGTGATAGTCGAATCACCCTTTTTGATATCAACATAAAATTGAAACTTCGACAACATTTCCGGAGCGGATTCTGACTGGCCAGCAGAACCTTCAGGCACGTTTATCCGTTTCCACATAATGATTCACATCCATCAGCTCGATCTTAACTTTACCCAATAAAAAAATTATGCTGAAAATTTTTTCTTCAACTTTTGTCGCTCGGAATAAAGTAAAACTCACACTTCGTTCTGGATAGTGCGCTGAAACACGACGCGACTGTCGTCCACGGTTAGGTCGAAGGAGCGCAAGCAGTCTTGGGCAAAGGTGAAGTCTTCTGCACTTTCTTCACGGCGATTTCTTCGTTCACAAATTCCGCAAGCTTTTGGTCGCCTGAATTCAGAAGGAATTTAGGATAAATATAACGTAAACAACACAAAATAGTTCAACGCACCCCCCCCCCCCCAAAAAAAAAAGGATCTCAGACGAATTGTAGGTTTAAAAATACTGTATTACTGTATATACGCAGGGTCCGCTCAGAGTTCACCTATAAGAGACGTGGATGCCAGCATTACTCTCTATAATGGGATGAAGCTTTCCTTATAATTCTTCTCGATTTGGAGTGTTTCCTAGTAATGTGTTGAATTACACTTCACGTCAAAAATGTTTTGTTAGGAATTACTCAATAACGTATTTTACGTATACAGTACCTGTAACACTAATTTACAGAATAATTTAAGCGAGCGGATCAGCCATTCAATAGCGAAGATAGCTTCACATCATCCTGTATATGCCAAGGTATTAGCATTGTGGTTCGAGATCCAGCAGTCACACCACTTTCATCAAACACAGTCATAGTAGATTCATCAAATACATGTACTCCTCAATGAAAAATAACCTAGATTCACCAAAAGTGAGGACACCATATTTACTGATGGAACTGATGACGCTTTCGAAAATGGAAAACTAACCTTTGGCTTCCGTGCAGTAACCATGCATTTGCGGGATAACTGTAGGATTCTACATTCGAACATTTTTTCCTAGATGTCGTCAGCAGTGACTTGAACAAAATGTAATACACCAGAGTATGAGCTTTTGCAATACTGCACAGTACAGTATAACAGTACAGTGCAATGCTGTATTTCGTCTTCCTATTTAGCTGTTATTCACACATGAGGCTTGATTATATTCGTCAGAGTATATTCGCCGCCCACTATTAAAACTGAGAAACTGTTCGCTGGTCATCAACTGATGGGAGGTGTATGCATCCAACGAGATAAATCTTACCATTCTAGTTTAGAAACCCTAAAATATGTAGCGGTACAGTATTTCGTTTTGCAGTTCGAAGAATTCCTGTAATTGTTCGATAGAGGTCGCGCTGGTATGTACTGTTCGCTACTTGAGTCTTGATGAATGACTCATAAGGATGGGCGCCGCTATGCACAATACTGTACTGTACTGTAGTTGAACTCAGTAGATGAATGAATGATGACGTGTGAAAGTCCTATGCCACAGGATCACCAGCATAAAGTTGTCAGAATTAGTTCATTGTTACGTGAGAAAATGCCCTTGTTCTCTCTTGCAATACAGGGAAGCTTGAATATTGTGAAGGTTATCGTTGAATAGAATATTCTCGCGTTCATACAACGGCGCTTATGCGTTTTTAAGTCTTGTCAGCGAATCGTTATTCACCAACATGTCTGAGTATCTGGATGTTGAAGCAGAGGAGAGCGAAGGAGAAACCAGTGAAATTGCAAGTCATTCTCGCAAAAATGTTCCTGCTAATATTAGTGACGATGATGACGACGAAGAGGACGGTGCGTGGAAGGTTTTTTAAAATCCGTAGTATGGTTTCGTTGAATGAGAACAGTTCTTGATTTAGATGAAGCTAAGTATGCTGAGGAATTCCGCGACTTCATCGCGAACGCCGACGTTGATGATAGTGATGTGGAAGACGACAGCCGAGTTCGAGGTCGTAAAAGACAGGGTAGCCATTTAGAGAAGTTAGATGACCAATTGGAAGACGATGATTATGACCTTCTTGAGGAGAATCTTGGGATCAAGGTTCAGCGCGTATGTCGGCTTCACTAAATAAAATGAATAGCCGTCGTATATATTGAGGCGATCGAATGTAATTCTTTTCACAGAAGAAGAAATTCCGCAGAGTTAGAGTTGAATCCGAGAGCGAAGAGGAAATAGAACATCCGGAAGAACCATTCGATCAAAATGAAGTCGGATCTGACGAGGTATATTTCATTGGTCTTCGAGCGACCGTATCGGTACTCCTAATGGCACTTCGTTTTCTGAAATTTCTCGCTCAGATTTGAATTTTTTGCCTTACTTGATTCTTCCGTTTGCTTTGATTCTTTAAATTTTGATCAAACACGATTACACGACAATTCGGTCTGTGTATTTAGTTGGTTTACTTGATCGTTGTATCAGCCGAGATTTAGACGAGAAGAAAAGCTGCAGAACTGATAATGCCCATATTAGATCGAATAAGATAAGAATGTTGGACTTCAGTATCCGATAACTGTGTACCCTGTGTAGGAAAATCGATCGGGTGCAGTCAGGGAGGGTTCGATGGAGACGGACAATATGTCACAAGGAAGTGCTGATTCATTGCGGCTGACTGATCTCGATGATGACGATGAGCTCGATGATTTCATCGTTGATTCGGAAGGGAATTCTGTTCGAGAAAGACGCCGTAAATTTAAAAGACACAACATTATGAGCAGGTAGATTCAATCGTCTCACTTGAAGTGACAGATCGCCGCGTAGCGTAACACCTTTTTTTCCTTCGGAATATTAGCAGTGTGGATTATGCTGCTCTTCAGGAGGCTCACGAAATCTTCGGTTGTGATCTCGATTATGTATATCAGTCCGGACAAGCTTCGGACAAGGAGGATAATCGTCCTCACCGAGGTGAAGATTACTATTCGGAAGACGACGTAGAACTAGAAGATGCTGGGAGTACGGAGAGGTTATCTCGCGGGAGAAATCACCGCAACCCCAAAGGATCCATTCATAAACAGCCGAAAGTGTCCATCTTCGAATTGTTCGAGCCGGCTGATCTCGAGAGGAATCATTTCACTGATCGAGATAATGATTTGCGGAACACAGACATTCCTGAAAGAATGCAAGTGCGCTGTGTTCCAGTCGTACCGATTGACGTACGTTTGACAGTTTTTATGGGACATGCTTTGAACCGTTTTGTTTTCAAGTTTGCCCAGTTCCATTTCGTTCAGGCCTCTTCTACAGTATTCATCATATTTCGAACCTCATTTGTTGTCTATCTGTTACAGCAGAAATGGGACTCTCTTCAACCGGGCACTCCCTTCTAATTACGCGCTACAATGCTAAATTTGCTTGTACTGGCCTTTGTCTTGTGTAGGATGCATGAACAACAAAATTGTACAAATACTTTTCATAGGCAAAAGAAAATGCTGATGAATTCGAGGCAGAAGCCAACTGGATTTATCGACATGCATTTGATGTGGTACCCACTGTCTCGGATCAAAGGATGCGATTGAAGATTCCACATGGTTATCCCAAGGATGCGGATCAACGAGAACAGGACGAATCTTTAGGTCGGCAGCTGGAGGCCCAGACCGCGATTAAGAATACGCTTCGCTTTTTTCGCGAACAGCATTTGGAAGTCCCGTTCATCCGCAATTATCGAAGGGAAGACATTTCCAACCTTTCACCCGAACATTTATGGCGCATTTACGACTTCGATGCAAAAGTGAGTGTTCCTTTCTCTCCGCGGTCCATTACTTAATCGCGCGTGTACCGTAATCATTTGATCCTACCTGTTCGTGTGATATTTTGAATAAATGAAAGGACTTTTTTTCGAACGACCTCATTACAGGGATCTATATATTTCCGTATTTATATGTGGTGCATCTTAACCAAGAGCAAGCTTCATTACGAGTTTTTTATTTACCTATTGTAAACATAAATCTGTGTTATTGATGATCTTTCCTTTTTCAGTGGTGTCAGCTGAAAGTCCGCAAGGCAAAGTTGTGTGATTTGATGAGTAATATGATGATGTTCCAACAAGGGAAATGCTTGGAATTGACGGAAGACGAACTTCGGGAAGATATCCGTCCTGTAACAGCTGACGATGTTCGAAGGTTTGTTTTTCAATGTATTCATTGCTGTACAACTCTTCCTCAAAAGTTTAGTATTATTTATTTTTGAAAGAAATTTTATATTATCGAAGTTGTCGGCGAGATATATATATTCACGCATAACATCATCTCGATCTTCGAATTGTTTCGTATTCGTACTGACTACTGAGTAACGCACATCATCTTGATTCAAGCGAAATGAACAGAAGGTATATGTCCTTTTCTGAAGCCACTGATTTATGTTGTTTTACCCTTTTTAATTGAGCAATAGCGGGGATAGAAGCTGAACCTGTTTCGTGCTGGAGGTGTGACGATCCCCATATTATCAAGTGTCTTGTGTGTGAATTGTATACTTTAATAGTGATGACGAATTTGGGTTCACCGTATGATGGATTCAGATGATTCTATTCGATTTACAAAATATTCCTAGAATGTCTCAATTGGAGACTGAGGAAGAACTGAACGACGTGTACTCGCAGTTCCTCATGTACTATTCCGACGATTTGCGAGAAATGAATGAGCTTCTGCGACAAAAACGCATTGAAGCCCGTCTGAAGGACCTCGCCGATCGTCAGCGTCAGGCAAAACTGATGGGTAACTCTGTTGAGGGTAGTGCTGCTGTTGAAGCTATAGTTGAAAATAACGAAGATCAGCCGGAATATTACAAAGACCTGGCGACGGAATACGAAGAGGGAGATTTTCGATTCATTGCAGCAGTTAAGCGGCATCCTTATAACACTTTTCGTCGGGCGGGATTGGGTGAGTTCCGTTGTATGTAAAGTTATAGACGATTGTCCTTGTAAAACATAAATCCTTGCTTCGATTTAATCATGAAACAAAAGTAATTATTGACGTGATTATGATCTCGGTGCTAGCTTTATTATCATCGAGGCTTTTATCTTATTTTATGCCTGTTTCTTGTTCTTTTACGAGATGTCGATTTCTTCACCGTATGCATTATTAATTGTTGGCATTTTTGGCAATGATTTATTTTATCTTGCGGTCTATTTCCCTCAGAAATTTCACGCATCTGTCAATTTTTGTGTGTGTCATTTTTGCACTTCATTTTTTGAATGCCCTTGCAGCTCGCTTCGCTTCAATGGTCGGCTTGCCTCCACACAAATTTGCCGAGAATGTGAGCGAGTATCTTCAACGAAACGAACCGGAAACTGTGCCTCGGGATCCCATGGAAGTCGCAAAGGAGTTCGTCAGTCCGAAGTTTCCAAAACCGGAAGACGTCATCAAGGCAGTCAAGTTAATGGTTGCCCACGAGCTGGCTGCTGAACCGGATGTACGAAGCTTCGTGCGTTCCAAAGTATTTTCTGATGCCACTCTGAATGTGCGAGCAACTAAGAAAGGGTTTACTGAGATTGATGAGAATCATTCATTGTTCAAGTGAGTTGAACATGGTTTAATGCAGTTTATCGCATTACAACCATTGCGCGGATAGCATGAATGTATGACTCAAAAGGAAATATTACCTTGAACTCCGATATCAATTCTCTGTTTATTATGCGAAGTAATGATTTTAAAATAATTATTGTACAGTACTGTATATAGAACCTTGATCATTCGTAGTTTCAATGACCAATAATGTGATACATAGTCCCTTTAAAATGTCACAAAAACACATCCTTGCTGTATGTTATATCGGCTCAACTTTTCCCAAACCCTTACCTGATACCGTAATTCTTCTCTGATCATCTTGGAATCGTGTACTTATTTTTAAGTTCATCTTGGGTAGCTGGCCTTAATGTATTCACCAGCAGTTCGGAGAATAGCATTGATAATAATCCATTTTAGTATTTTCTATTGAACTTTTTGGGTTGACATATAATGATGTAAACGTGGCTAATCAAGGATCCAACGAATTTCCCGTGAAATAGGGTGTCTAAAATATGTTCCTTAAAATGAAAGAATTAGTATTTTCGGCTTAATATCAAGAAAAATCCTGTTGAAACGCTAACAGATGTGCTAAAGCAGAAAAAAATACAACTTGGGAAGCTCACTCAGAAGTTGGAACTCCAATATTAACTGCAACATGCTGTATATAGCAATGATCAAAGAATACAAGAGGATTCCGACCATACAGATGTCGAACCTAAATACAGTAGATGACTCAGCGTGAGAGAAACCTATGTCATTGTTTCTATTAGCGACATTATACCAACAAAACCGCAGTTATTGATTGCATTGAACGAATTGGAGAACTTCGAACGATGCATTCATCCTATACCACCTCGGCTATTGCGTATACTTGCAATAGGAATTACCCCTGTTCGACAATAACACGTCACATCGCATTTGACACGGACACGGAAAATTCGTGTTTTTCTCATAAAATTTCCAATTTGCACAGTATAAAAAAAAGAAAAGAAGAAAAAGAAGTCACTTCCAAAAACGTGTCATGCAAAGACTCTTGCATGCAAAGAGTCTCTTCTTTCTCGAAGAAAATAAATTTTTCTCAATGCAAAGAAGTCTCTTTTATCGTTATTTTCGCCAATGCTGTATTCTCGATACCAGCATATGGGGAATATATGTGTTCAATGGCAAATGAATTGATACCATTGTGACGAATCATTGTAGGTACAAATACTTGTCCGAGAAACCGGTGATGTCGTTGGAGAATGATTTGTATCTGATCCTGTCAAACGGTGTGAAGGACGGGCTGCTCACAATGACCTTAAATTGCGAATGCATCAGCACTGATTCTCGGACCAGGAAGCACCTGGTGGATGAACTCACGGATTTGTATGTTCAGGATGCCTACTCCCATCACGTCAAAGTTTGGAATGAAATTCGACGGGAAATAATTCAAGTGATGCTCAGTCACATTTTGATTCCGGACATTCGGAAGGATTTGGAAAACCGCTTGTTGCTGGAGGCACAGGAGCATATCTTGATGTCGTGTATCGACGAGCTTCGTGATGCTGTCAAAGTTAGTTGCATATCAATTTATTCTTGGGAAAGGGAGTGAAAAATATAAAAAAATAAATAAAAATATATGAAAAATATATCCCTGAAAAATATATTTGTTTGCGCAGGCGAAAAAATTTCAACATTTTGGAAATTTTGCTGTAGACCACGCCTACAGCGCCTATGAGTGAAAATGAAGCGAGAGGAAATATCAAATCAGTAAAAAGTTGATAGATTGAAATTTCTAAACTTAATGGGAAAAACCATCGTTGAAAATTTCATCAGTGATACGAATTCGCTTGGAAAATGGAATGTTTTTATATCCGATTTTAGAAGTATACATTCATCGTATATACAAAGGTTATTTATTGTATGCACGAGGAACTATATGTGAGTCTGTGCTTCATAAAATTACGAATGAATTTTTGGAAAGTGTTCCTTCCATTAGTCAAATCGAAGTCAGCGGAAATCTGAGGCATCACTATGAACTCACCCCGCAAATTAAGGTCAGTGCGGTAAAAGCAAGAATATTTTGCGTTCGTATATTTTAAGCCTCATCAGCGTGTTCCGCTTGCAGCATTTCCTATCGCGTTATTATTTCTCGCGCTTCGTTTTCTTCTACTGCCGCAATTTTCAATGGCACTCAATTAAACTTACTTTACAGATAGCGCCGTATCGTCCAATAGACGACGAGAAAAGCGAGGAAGACGAGGACTGGGATAATTCCCGTGGAATCCGTGTGCTGGGTCTAGCCTACGACGACGTCGATCCAACATTGGCTCCGTTCGCGGCTGTCATCGATAAAAATGCCGCGGTGCTCGATTTTCTGCGTCTTCCTGCCTTGTTGCGATTTCGGAATGGAACATTCAGCGAAGACTCGCAGAACGACTTAGAACGCCTCCGAAAACTGATTCTGAAGCGGAAACCGCACGTGGTGGCATTGAGCGCCGAGTCCCGAATGGCCTTGCAATTGATGCGCGAATTGCAAAAAATGTTGGAGGATATGACTTTTTCTGCTGAAGGCTTTCCCCATGTGACTGTTGAACTTGTGGATACGTCACTTGCGAAGCTTTTTGGGAGCTCCAGTCGAGGTCAAGAAGAGATGCCGAAGTTTCCGAAGGTGAAGAACCTAGTTTTCCGCTTTTATATTCTCCGCAGTTCAACTGCTTTCGAATTTTCTGACATTTTTTGCGCACATTCTGGAATGAGTAGAGTGTAATTGTAAATTCGGTTCAAACTGAAGTACGTCCATGTTTGTTTCTGAAAAATTTCGCAAATTCTGTTTTTACTTCAGTTGTGTTGGAAACGCGCTGTTTTTTTTTCTTCGGTGTTTCGGATGCGCACTGTTCTGGACTTCTGCTGGATCTTATCAAGCACTCGGAAGTCCACTAATTATAAAAGCGATCATTCCTTTCCGAATGTCGAATGATGCCCTCTTCAATTCGTGTGTCTGTATTTTTTTCATATAAATAAAGGTCCTTCGGGAAGCTGTCAGCATAGCGAGGCGACTTCAAAACCCATTGCTGGAGTACGTTCAGCTGTGTACCCATGATGACGAAATCCTTTGCTTGAAACTACATCCCCTGCAAGACCACGTTGGACGCGATGACTTGCTCAATGCTTTACACCGCGTTCTGATCGACAGAGTTAACCTGGTCGGAGTGGACCTCAATGTCTGCGCAAACAGTACTTATTCTGCGCAGTGTTTGCAATTTGTTTCCGGTTTGGGTCCCCGCAAAGCCGCTGCGATATTGAAAACCATGCACCAGAAGGGCCTCCGAATCGAGAACAGACAACAGCTCGTGACTGATTTACATTTCGGTCCTCGTGTGTTCGTCAACTCTGCGGGTTTCATTAAAATCGACACGAGCGGCTTGGGTGATAGTACGGATGACGCTGTGAATCTGCTGGACGGCACTCGAGTTCATCCCGAATCGTATGAATTGGCACACAAAATGGCCATCGATGCTCTTGACTGGGATCATGATGCTGATCCGGTCGCTGCCCTGGAGGAAATTTTCGTGGCTCCTGAAAAACTGCATGATTTAGACTTGGAAGCGTTTGCTAATCAACTGAAAGAAAATGTAAGTGAAATCCGCTTTTTAGGCGTTTCAAGGTAAGGTTGAAGAGTACTAATCGAACAAGTGAACTGATGGGTGAAAAGTGAAATGGCTTCGAGAGAATTGTCACGTGCGTGTTCGTATCCGTTCTCATTATCCTCTTCAGTATATGCATTTCGTCTTGTAAGCTTACCCGACCTAATGACCGGGTTTTTGTGATGAATCTTTCATCTGACTACTTTCATGAAAATCGGTAAATTTTAATTTTGTTCCCCAATTTTCTTTTAGGGTGCAGGGGAAAAGTTGAAGACCCTTGAAGACATTCGTTACGAGATCGGAAATCCCTACAAGGATTGGCGGGAACCCTATAATCCTCCTACAGCGGATGTAATCTTTTCCTGGTTATCAAAAGAGACGCCCGATACCATATTTCCTGGCAAACTCATGACTGGCACTGTCGTCGGCGTAACTTACAAGGATGAAAAACCTCGTGACGACCGAAATGGACGGCGGTATGAGAATAACAACAACGGCGATGACCGAATGCGACGTGACGACGATAACTACGATTCGAGAAGAGAGAATTATGACGATGAAAGCTGCAGAAGCGATGAAATGAGGGTAGGTTATTTTATGCAAGTACGCATGAATACCCTGAAATAACGTGATCATGATAAAATCACAATCCACATTCGGGTCATTAACATGTTGTCATTGTTGACACGCATTTTAATGCAGTATTTAAAACGAATTTGATACAGGATCCGATAGTCGCTCTGGGATCATGTCTTTCAGACTTCAACAATACTTTTCTTTCACTGATTTGAGGCCACTCACTATATAAAGTAGAAAAATTGTACAGTACCGTATCTCGTTTTGGACTGCGTGCGCAGATCAGACCCCTCTCCCTCGTTCGTCGAATTTTATTCCGTTTATCACGAGGGAGGTGGTTAGCTGATAGATGTCGGTGCTACATATTCACAATCGAATTTCAGCATCGCCCGAATTCATCCTATACAGTATTCTAAAACTTCTGATTCAAGTTAATCAATATGCAACGGCATCAGCTTTTTAAAAGTTGCATAACGAGGGTTGATGAGGCATCGGTCATACTATTGCTACTCCAGTATGACAGCATTTTTTGAATTATGCGAAGGATCTTCTTTTCGCATGTTCTTGTTTAAAAAAAATTCTCGACCCTTTTTAACCCATTTATGACAAAGGTCTATTTACTTAAGCTCTCCACGTGTTTTAGCTGAGGTTTGAAACACTCAGTGAAGACTAATAAGCTTTCCATTGCGTTTCTCACTAATACACTGCATAGACATCCTGCTAAGACAGCAGCAATAATAGAACGAACTAAAATTTTCCGTTCATGACGCATCACTTATTTGTTATTTCTGATTCAACTTCGATGGGAGCACTATGGTCATATTATTTTTTGGCATTCGTTTGCAGCGCGAAGAAAGAGATGATCCAATCCGCGAGAATGATCCTGATGATAGAACACAATCCGCGGGAAACGGCCAAAATGCATCCTCTCACGATGAAAACCCTCATTCGGAAGCTGGCGACAACTGCGAACCATCATACCGTGAAGAACCCAGGGATAATGATCAACGTGAAAATGATCCTGATCCTTCTGACGAGGATCGTCCTATTCGTTTGGACTCCGGGCTCTGGCGGTGTCACGTCTGCAAACGTGCCAACTTTCGGGAATTGGCGGATGCTTGCGAACATGTTCTGCAGGGGGGTTGTCCGGGCTATCCGTTCGGGGTGCGTTTGCGGATGGAGAATGGGATACCGGGATTCATTCCGCTGAATAAGATCAGTAATTCCACGGTAATGGACCCGTGGGAAAGGGTGCGCATCGGTCAGGTTGTTCTCGTCCGAGTTCTGAAGATCGACATAGAACGAATCAGTCTTGATTGCTCGTCCTCCTCGGATACTTTGAGTGACCTCAGCTGGTTGTATGTTTACTTATCTATATTTCAGCGCAATAATCTTAATTTTCCAGTGTAAGAAAAAGGCCGTAAAATGAAAAACTGAGGTTAAATTTAAACAAAGTTTGAAAATGAAGCATGCGGCCTTTTCTCCTGTGTAATTTCCTGATTGTTCCGTTTTACGCATTGGGATGTTTTCACCGCTTCTCCGTTTTCTCCAGGAGATCGAGGGACAAATATTATGATTATTCTCTGGACGAGGAGGAGCAAGAAAAGGCGTCGACCATGCGTAGGCTCACTCTCCGACGGACAAATGCTTACAGATCGCGTGTTATTGTGCATCCTAATTTCCTGAATGTGGATTATACCGGTGCTGAGGCATTGATGAAGAATAGACAGCAGGGAGACGTCGTCATTCGTCCTTCGAGCAAGGTTAGTCCATTTCAGTTTCTCAAATTTGATATATTATTTTTCGTGAAGTCAGAATGCATCAGGAGTCCCACTTCGAAAATTGTCGAACGCGAAATCGTCGCAAGTCGTTACAGACTTTAAATGATCGCTTCACATTCGTGAGTTAAAATAGAATGAATTTGATTTCAGGACATGGTTGATGCTGAAATTGCTGAAGCGCTGTTTATAGGGTGCAATTATAAACAGATAACTTGTGTCTCGTAATTCTTCCTCACATTCTTGTACTTTATTTTTTTATCATCTCCAAAGAGTACTTGTTTATCGATTTCCCGCTTCTCAACCCTTATTTTGGGATGTCTGGCAGGTGTCGCCCGAACACATCTGAAATAACACAACGATTTTTGTGTATTGTACCATGCATTCTTTACTAGTCCCCAGAATTTCGTTGTAGAGTAACCATGTACAGAATATCCACCCCCTACAATGACCGTGGCAAAGATAATTTTGTTGAAACTATTTGGAGCAAAATAGTTTCAATGTACAGTACTGTATATCCAACGCTGGAGTACTGACTGAAGAGTCTGCACCGTTTAGCTTTGAAATTGATGAGAAAAAAAAAATCCTAGTGACGTCGTATACAGTACAGCATTTATTTTTCAATTCCCAAAATGTGAAGAGTGCTGTACCGTCCGTTCATTTGGCCTCGGAATAAACATGACGTGGGTTCAGTTACTTCGGACTTAATTTATTATTCGTTCCAGGGCACGGATCACCTGACTGTCACATGGAAAGTTGCCGAGGGAGTCCTGCAGCACATAGATGTACTTGAAGACAACAAAGACAACGTGCTGAGCCTTGGAAAGTGCCTGTGGATAGGTCAAGAACGTTTCGAGGATTTGGACGAAATCGTAGCACGTCACGTGACTCCTATGGCAGCACACGCCCGCGATATTCTGATGTACAAGTATTTTCGGAATACCCAGGGCGGAAATCGGGAAATTGCCGAAGAAATTCTTGTGGAGGAAAAGCGTAGGACTCCGAACAGAATTCCTTATATCGTCTCCATCGTTACGCCTCAAAACGTGAGTGTCAGTCAACACTAACAGGAAAATTCATTCACTCGTTTTGAAATTATTCATTCACTCCTTTTGTAATTATTCATTCATTCGTTTTGAAATTAGGGTCTTCAGCGAGGGCTGTTTTTGTTTATCTGTGCTAAATGCGGAAGAAAACGAATATTTTTATGAATACCTGTATAAGGAACACTTACCAATGAGTTTCCATTCAGTAATACAGTATTAATAATTTCCTTCAAATACTGGGTGGCCAAAAAAATCGTATTATTTTTCCTTTTTTTAAAACTGAAGTTCTGAAACCTTGACTATAATACCCCCTAAAATCTCAAATATGCGGAACTCGAATTATTCAATCCTCCCGAATAACGTAATCTCTGAGTGGCCGGTATACAATACTTTGAAAAAGAACCGAATTAAACTCGGAACAAATCAAATCTACATTATCAGTATCATGCATCGCACAATCTGATGAAGCCGACATCTGCTGGCCAACTTGATTAAAACTTGAATTTAGCTGGACACATGTTTCAGTTCCTCATGTAGCAAACCGATTCGTCTCAATAATCAAATTATATAAATTAATCGTGAAAATATGATAAGTCACCTTGATCACGTACGAGCGAATGTGGCATTACTTACGCCCATTTTTCAGATGCTTGATTGGAGTAACTGATTTCATGTCGTATGTGGGTCCATCAATGAATACTCAGTCGTGTTCATTTTGTGAACAACTGGAAACATTATTGTTTATGTTTCTACGAAATATTTGCATCCTTCATACAGGGTCAAGCGGGACAGTTTTTGTTGTCGTATCTACCTCGGTTGACCAGCAGGCACGAATTCTTCTCCGTGACGCCGAGTGGATACCTGTTCCGCCGGAAGAGCTTTCATTCTCTGAATTCAATGTTCCGATGGTTCAAGGAAAATTTTTATGAGCCCCGGCCAAACGTGTCTCGGAGCCGATCATCAAACACACCTATGTCTTCCGGACGGACGCCTCTTCCTGATGGTGATTTCTGGTTCCTTTTGACTTGTTCGTACTGCATGACCTCATGTTACCTGTTTCTCATGCAGCTGAACCTCGAGAACTTGAACCTCCCTAACCTATGCCAATTTTTTAAAGTTTCTGTCGGAATTCCTTTTTAAGGGAATTCTAAGGCTTTCCCCCTCAAACCTCCATGACTCCGATTTTCTGGAGACCTCTTGGCTAATATTTTATTTGCACAGGGGAAATAAAAGCAATAAAGATATAACTCAACGCCTTTTGAAAATAAGTGAAAAATTATTTTGGCAAATGAACCTATATCACCTTCAGTATCCTGTCAACTCATTCAAGAAGCAATTCAAGGCCCAGAATATCAAAAGTTGAATTTCCCTGGGATTCTTTTTCCTTTCCCTCAACATAAAAGCTTGTTTCCCTGACTCAAAATCTCCGCAAGTTGAATTTGTTGCTGGTCCTTTGGATTTTGACCCAAAGAGGTTTGACTTAAATACAGTTCTGTTTAAGCATTTTACCAGCCATGTATTGTTCATCAATGGACTTTTTTTGGGTCGCTAGTATAACGAACAACACATTTTAACGCGATCCATACTTACTTGGCATTGTGGTCAACTCTCCATATCCATGCAATACATGGCCCAGTACAGGTGGTAACCCGCAATTTAACCATAATCTGTTGCTGGACTACAGGATTAAATTGCAAAACAGTTGAGTTGCAAGACAATGCCTAAAGTAAGAGCAGCAGAAAATCATGTGAAAAGTGGCTGAATCAGGTTGAATTGTGGGGTGGGGAAGAGAAATTGTCGGTACCGGGTCATCCGCCAGCCGTTCAAATCACGGTCGCGCACCCGCCGGTCGTCAAGTGCCAGTCGGTCCAACCGCCAGCCAGGGCAGTTCTTGGCCTTGCCAATCCCCAGTCCACCAAACTGCGGTCTGGTCACCCGATTGTTGGGGCACCCAAACAATTGGGTGACAAGAATCATGCTGATTCTTTCTAGAATTTGGTGAGCANAAGAATCATGCTGATTCTTTCTAGAATTTGGTGAGCAGAATGGTATCCTACCACAGATTATTTTTTTTTTCAAAATTTCATCTTATAAAAATTTTCACAAAAATAAAAAACTCATCAAACCCAACCTAACTTAACCTAACATATCCTAACCTAACCTAACCTAAACTAACATAATATAAACTGACCTAACCTAACCTAACCTAACATTGCTAAAATTTTGAAAGAAAAAAAATCTGTGGTAGGATACCATTCTGCTCACTGAACTCTGAAAAAAAAATCAGCATGATTCTTGTAACCCAATTGTTTGGGTGCCCCGACAATCGGGTGACCGGACCGCAGTTTGGTGGGCTGGGGATTGGCAAGGCCAAGAACTGCCCTGGCTGGCGGTTGGACCGACCGGCGCTTGACGACCGGCGGGTGCGCGACCGTCAATTGACCGACCGGCGGCTGACCGGACACGGAAATTGTTAACCTCCCAGCAAATTTGACCATAAAATTGCAGGAGGAATGAATTGCGGGAGGTCAAATTGCGAGGTACCACCCGTATAACAATTCAGACAAAAAAATGCACAGAAAATCAAAGAAAGCAGAACATTGTTGTGATTGAAAGTAAAAATAACCATCCGAAGAAAAACCTTGCTTGCAAATTCATGATGATGCTTCAAATGTGAATATACAGCCAACATCATGTCGCCCCTTCCACCCTGGTCCTCGCCTCACCCGCACCGTGCGCATAGTCGCGAACAGAAACGCGCTGCTTCAGCAGCTACGCGAGACAACCGCTTGATGCCGCCACCTGCTGCCCCTCTTTCAAAGTGCGATCAGTTACCAGAAAAGCTGCGTGCTTCTGAAAACAGGGCAACCCGGGATAGGCAATCGTGCATCAGCAAACAGATAACGTCGCAGCCGAAGCGGTCTGAGAAGGCGGAATTTTTTCCGCAATATTTGTCCGCTGAGCGGAGTCGTGAACCTGATTGCGTACTACTTTGGCTGAAGAATTTTGCCGGGTCTCGTGAACCTACGTGTTCGTCGCCCAGGAAGGGAACCGCAGAACCCTGATCAAACGATTTTATTTTAAGCCTCATTAATCGTAGAATTGCTGTATACGGACACAGTTACACTTCGTCTTTCTGACGACAGAATACAATATATAATTTTGAAGAATGCCAAAATGTTTTCCAGTTTACTGCATTCTGTTTTTCCCCATTGCGGGTGGGTTAGTTATTCCACTTATATTCGTGTTAATGCGCTTTAATGGAAATCTTCGTAAGGACTCTGAGTCACATTGCTTCCAGCCATTCTTAATTGTGTTCGTTTGTCGAATAAGTTTTGAATGCATCCGATTAAACGAACAATACAAATTGATCTTCAGGTGTAGAGTGTTGGCAATCAGAATTTCACTAATGCATGTCTGGGGTCCTGGGGGATCAACATACAGTTTTCAATTCTAAATGGATCGATTAGATTTTCTTTCAAAATAATCTTCATTTAATTACGGAATTTACTTGACTATTACCGTACTGGGCGTCCTCATGTAAGACACGCACCAAGATTTTGGGAAACAATTTTGGGGAAAAATATATAGAAGAAACAAATCCCCGCCTAAGATATACAGTGCATCTCAGTTTTTATGAAACAATTCTGTAATTTTTCGTTCTTCAAAATAATTTTAGTGAGCTCATGGGAAGATGGCCAAAATTATTCAAATTGATACAGATCGATGTAACTTGGATGCAGATTTCTTTACTTCCTTCCAATTTAAAAGATCATTCTGAATGAAATACAGTAATCACTTGAGGAGGATTTCATGCGAGGGCTTTTCATTATTCAAATGTGACGCGCAAACCTCCCCGAAAATTTCGCCGCAAACATTTTACCCACATGGGATGCGCCCCAATATTTTTTTTTGCCGTTTTTAGTATAAAGAAAGAAAAGACAAGTGAATTTGTTACTTACATAAGTACGGTTAATTTTTCTGCCTGAAGTTGGTACTTCAATCGTTTATGTGCAGGAATCGGATTGAGGTTCAAGTAATTGAAGTAACGATGCTTTTCAATGTGTTTATTTTCAGGCGTCAACATGAAAGATTTTGATGGAATGCCTACAACAAAGTCGGCAAATGCCTTCAATGATTTGAAGCGTGCTTGCAGCAGCAGAAGAATGCCGACTTCATCAGCAATGGAGAAATCGAATCACGTGGTAATTTGTTTCCTTTTATCGTTACATAGGCAAGAAAATGTTAATTTGAATGAACAACTGTGCATTATTTTTTGGCCCTAAGTGGAAATATTGGTTGTAAGCCGTGTAACGAATGCCTTGGAGCAAAGAAAATGGGATGGGGATAATTCAGGGAAAACAGCGACGGCGAAGAAATTAAATAGGAAAAAGTGTCAGAAAATATTGCATGGAGGAATCATTATTAAAAGAATTAGGACAGGTCACATGTCACGAGTCGAGATAGACTAGGAAACAAGAATTGCCGCGAGAAAATATGAGGTATTACGCGTAAAAATGTAAGAAAGGAGCAAACGCTTTTTCCAATAAAAAATATTGACGCATTCTATAGCATGGACAGCAGTGAGTAGAAAAATACTGCGTCTGTCTCAATTTTTTCTTCTCAAATTTTACCACAATATTCGAAAGGCTGCCCGTGGTGCTTGCTTATCCCTTTTGTTCGTCGGATTTTTGTATCAGGCAGCAATAGCGCCGTTAATCATCTCGGACTGATGAAATCCCTCTGAAAATACACGATCGACGCGTTTCCGTATGTTCTGTGATTCCAGAGAAAATCTATTTACAATATTTGAATAAGTCCCTATTATTAAATTTCCTATGATCTCCCAAAAAAAAAAGTATTCCAATTGTTGCTTGCCATTGAGAATTATTTCGATGTTTCATGGAAGAGATGTGCCGTACGGTGGTTGTGGGATAACGATAACAGACGATTTTTTGGTCCAAATTATTCAATGCAATCGTTCGCAATAAGCATGCTTCATTAAATGTTTACCGCAATAAAAGGAAGAACGTTTATTTCGAAAGGCAAATATTTAATGATCATTTTTCAGTTTCGTAAAGAGAGTAGGTATGCCGAGACTGGGCGGAAAACGAAGAACTCATCATCAATCTCGAAGTCTGGCGTAGGAAACGAAAACGAACATCACAACCACCGCGATTCATTTCGGTAAGTGCTTCAGATATAGACTATTGATGTTTTAAACTGAATTTTAGCATGTATTCCATTTTGTATCCTGTGTGTATTTTTTGTCGTTCCTGTGCTTTTAAAGATGTTTCTGGGGTTCAAAAGTAGAAGAGAGGGTCGATGTATTTCGTAGATTCTTGATGAAAGTACAAATTTGATAATCCGAAAAAAATACTGTTTGATTAGTTGAGAAACGGTGTGTCCGCGGAAATTCAACAGCGGTCATTTCTGAAATTTCGGCGTGAGCCACTGTTTCATAGGTTTCCAAATCTTTCAGACATGTCAGATGTTCAAGCGATTGATTTGTAGTCGATCTGTGTACGTATTTAATTATTGGCTCTTTGTTGAGAATGAAGGAATCAATTTTTTTGGGAATATTGAATCAAAAGAAAAACTGTGCACATTGCACTTCTATTATTTACAGGTACTCATCGGAAATCAACCAGAATGAGGTGAAGGAGACTCGAAGATACGATCCACACACGCCGCTGTGTACTCCGCCGGTCACTGTGAGGAATTTCATTTTTCCATGCGAATTTACTTCTGTACCATGTGCATCGTTCCCTCAAAATTTTGGCGCAAAAACTCCGAGTTCGCCTCATGCGCGAATGTAAAATTCCAATTTGCTCATTTGGGAATTTTCTAAATTTTCAGTTGCCTTTTGCACGCAGATGTGACCCAGTAATTGTGCGGCATTTCCCGTAGATCCCGATATTTGAACTGTATGTGATGATAGAAGACTTCTTACCATCCGAAAGAATTCAATTTTCCGACCGATGATGTAAATGTCAGCACCTCCTTACTGACACAAACTTCGGAGAAGCTTTTTTGTCTCAGATTTTTCAAATGACCTTCGAATACTGTACTACACAAATATCATACGATATAAAAATCCCTCTTTGGAGCCCGGAATGCCGAAGGCAGAATTTTGATGAAAACGAATGATATCCGCAGCCGATGAGCACTCCTGGAGATGAGCCTTTTAGAAAAGTATACGAGGAGAATTTTGAACCTAACGACTACCCCGAAAGGTATTCACTTGACTATTATCTATTGCTGAGAATCCTCTTGGGCGAAGGTTTTTTGCAGTGCATGTCTGTCTTATTCATTAATTGCCCTTTCCTGGTATTTTTTAACACGCTACTAAAACCGTGATTTCCGTGGGGGTACGCAATGCTATGGAGTCTTGATTATCCTGACTAATGACCTCGTGCTTTTATTGGGATATTGCCTTTCAGAATGATGAAACTTCTTAAATAACCATCAGGGTTAAAACAATCACGAAAAGGCAGCAGTTTTTTATTGTGCAAAAATACCGACGTTATTTCTTTCGAATGATCGCTCTGGACTATATAAATAAATTTTTTCCGTAATTTAAGCGCGAATCAACGAAATTTTTGTTGTAGTTTGCAGTCGCAGAAGTACGTATTTATGTAACTACGATCATGTTAAGGCTTACATTAACTCAATCCAAAAAGAATATTCTTCCGAAACACTATTAAGAAAATTGATGAACTATAATGACTGCGAATTATTTATGGTCAAAGAAAATTGATGAACTATAATGACTGCTAATTATTTATGGTCATTCCTACGAATTCTATCATTTTTCGAGTATATCTGGTGGGTTTTTATTACTGGTAGCGATTGAAGTTACTGACGATTTCTTCGTGTTTTTCCCTGTTTTTGCGGGAAATTTTCATTGAAATTCAAGGCATTCGCGGCGAAAATTCGTGCAACATCCGCGGGATTATTCTCCCCCGCCTGCCGAATCACATTACGAGGTCAGTTTTATTCTATCTTTTTTTTCAAATTCAGTCTTTCTATTATTTCCCTCAGGAATCTCTGCAAAACTACTTGAATATTTTAAAACTTCCCACATAGCATTGCGATGTTCGAGAGGAAGAATCATCGTCTTCAATCAATAACCCGTCGTCGAGCTCGCAGGTTTCTTCAGTGACGAATACAAACGAGGATTTGTCTGGGGGATGGAAAAGCTACTTGATGAAGGATGGAAGAAGACACGAAAACCAGCAGTCATGTGACTACGACAGGTCGGATTCGCAGCCCCTGTCCCCCAAGGCCCGTGCAACTTCGCCTAGTGCAGAAGACACGTGTGCTGCTGACTACGAAAGTGACCTGTACACACCGCTAGCTCAAGAAGACCGCCATCATTCTGAGGAACTTCCTGACGAGCAAAATCTAAACGTTTACAGGTGATGCTGGCGTTATCTATATTTTTTGTCACGAGATTGTGAAAGGATAGTACCAGAAGGCGTCTTTTGCTGCTTGAGAGATGAGATCAGTGCAAAATAAATGAAAAAAGATGGCAAAATCCTTTCTTCTACCGATATATGCTTCATTATTCGTTTTGTTTCAATTTTTAAGCTGGTCGAAAGATGAGAGCGAGAATGCCGCGTTGGAATCATGGGGCAAACGATCCAAGTGAGTACCTTATTGCTTGAATTCTATACTGTATATTAATCATCAGATTATTGTATGGTAAATGCGAACTTGTGAACGCAATGCATTTGAAGAAGCGTAATTTAAGATATTTTTTCCTGAACAACTCCAATGTGATCAGGAAACTCCGCGAAGAAATTTTGCAATTTTCAATTTGCATGTGCAGTCGGTACACTTTTTCTGACGAAGTCTGATCTTATGAAAATGAACTATTGAGTTGGTTCTCCGGAATTTCTTACATTATGTGGCTTTTTCTTCCCCCATGAGGTGTCATGGACCTCAGTGAAACGCAGAAAGACGAAATATGATGGACAATGTCGCCGCCGTTCGATGATGGAAGTTATAATGAATGGGCAATGTTTTTGAAACTCGTCATGAACAACTGAAGTACTGATTTGTTTTCACGCAAAAAAGATTGATTTTCGGAATCGGTATTCTGTCAGATATTTAGTTCAGCACGAGAAGGACAGTATAAACTTATTTTTCTCCCGCTTTATTATTCGGGCTGTATCGTGAGGAATTATTTATGGAAACTTCGAATTTTTTTTTTCGGTTGAACTTGATTTATTTGGTAATGATGAATAATCATTTTTGAAATCAACGCGAGCATTGATCTGCATTGATCTGAACGGGAAACTTCTTTGTTTTTTCAATCCGACGCAATACTGTGAATCTCCTTTTTTTTTCGACGTGCAGCGACGCAAATGACGTCGGAGAGGTACCTGGAATTAAGAAGCGGCGAAATATTTTCACTATTTTGTGGCGTTTCTGTTTCATTTCAATGAACGGGCATTACTTTGAGCGTGTCAAATTTATTTACTTTTTCGGTCATCATAGGCAACATTTTACAATGCTGATGGTCGAATAGATGTGTCTCCAACTTATTTGCATGAAACGAGGAGATTCGCCATTTTTTTTTGCTGTTTCCAACTTATTTCTGTGAGCAGTAACGGAAAGTTCAGAGGCGTTGCTTGAATTTTTTCACGTTTCGTTCTTTCAGGGTTGTGTAAGGATGTACAGTATGTGAATGGGAACCATCCAGCAGTGAAATTGATTTTGATGGACGTCGAAAACGTGAGGCGCATCTATCAATTGAAGATGATTTTGGGTGAGTTTTCAGTGTCATATTTTGCACTTCAGTCTCGTGTGCGAAATATTTGTACAATATTTATCCTCAAAAATCGGGCTGATTTTGACCGTATACAGAACAGCAATTATAGGGGCTGTAATTTAAAAATTTTCAGACTTGGAAATAAAAAGAATTGACTGTAAACTCTTGAAATAGTTCATGGTTTAAGCATGACTCTCCATTTCGAAGATAAATACTTTGGGATAGCTCCTGCAAAGGGATTTCACTGTTCACCATAATTTTATTCCTTCTCGATATTTTTATCCTCGTTAATCTTCAAGCTAATTAATTCATCCCCCAAAAGCTTACCAGATTATTACACTATTTACATCTTGGAGCTCATAAATAATTTGAAAATAGAATCGCGCTTCTTGCAGGTTTACATTTCAAACCTCGTCGATCAGTCAGCTCGCCATAAGAGAACAAATGCTTTGAATCTGTTCATAAACAGCTTTTATCTGAATTCTTGAGGAAGTCCGTGCAGCACTTATTCGTGGAGTAATCCCTCGTATATTCGATGCATATTTTCTATTTCCGAAAAGTCCAGAAAACATGATGAGCTTCTTGGTAACCGCAGCCTTCAAACAGTCGTCGACTCGTCTCATTGCTATTCAAGATGATAACCACCGGCTCCATATCAAGTTTCGCGAGCTTCTTCCGCATCTCAAGAACTACGGCCTTAGCGATTCCTTTCTGACGGTGTTCCGGTATCACCTGAAGTAGCCCTTGCTGGCCATGTATCATCAATGAAAACCACGCCACGAGATTTCCTGTCAAACGGTGAATTCAGTTTTTAGGCCTAGAAAATTTTCTAGATCAGTGTTTTCCAACCTTTTTAGGCCCTTGGACCATCTAATTTTCATGAATTTTTTTCCGGACTGGCAAATTTCCCCAAACTTTTGTTTGAAAGACTTTGTGACAAGCATTTAGAAAGTTTCTGTTTCTTTGCAAGATTTAAGAACCAATGAGGTAGCGCAACAGTGAAACGTTTTTGAAAAATTAGAAAGATAAACTTGAAAAAAAGTTTCTCAGAACGAAAAAAAAATAAGGGATGAAAATTTGTCCTAATTCTTATTATAAGAGAAAAAACCAACTTTTATTTTTTCCATTTGATAATTTCAACTCACATTTTCTTTCCAAAATTTCAAATGAAGATAGCATACTCAATTTTTTTATTAATATTACTAATCTGCAGACTGGCAAACAACTTCTGCAGACTGGCGCCAGTCCATGAACAACAGGTTGGGGAACACTGCTCTGGATAATCTAGAAAATTCGGATTATACTCCTATAGTGTTCTAGGACTAACCTGTTGCCGTGTGCAGAACGCCTACAGGGAGCCTGTTTTTCAGGAGGTTTTCTACCATGTGAATTGAGTTTTCATCTCCATGATCCCAAGTGTCATTGATTAATCGTGCCCATTTCAGATCAATGCATTCAATGAAAGTAAATCCTTTAGGTAGTTCTTTACTGCAATTGAAAACAGATAAGCTCCCCTTTGTTAGTATCGTTACAAAAATACAGGAGAATGAAAGATTTATGTGCCATATTATTGTCGGACTCACTGTTGCGAAGAAGGCAATTTTGGCGACGGCGTATAAAGAGCCGGATGATCTTCAGTGGAAGATTCCACGCTCAAAAGATGGACATTATTTTCTGCAGCGACTGCGTATAAAGTTTCCTTCATTAGAAAAGGAACATTCGCGAAGCAGAGTTGAATTTTCTTCCAATCCACAAATTTTTGAAGCATTTGTTTGAGATCCAGATTGGGTTTGGAGTTAGGTGTGAGCATTTGATACCATGAGGGTCCTTCATCAGTAGTGTCACCCTGATATTTTGAGAAATCGATTTTCCCCCATTAATATATATCATGAAAAGTGTAGATGAACAATTCAAATTGCATATACAGTACAAGAAGCTCAACTCACTTGCTGGCAAATGATTGCAGTTACTTGTTTGTTCCTGCGAGCAACTGTGATGATAGGTTCGGGATCTTGCGCGCCCAGCTCCCAAAGTGTCAGCACGTTCCGTAACTGCAATTTACGTTCTGAAGTTCATTGAATTATTCTTGAAAATGCGGCCACGCGCCCTCTATAATAGTGAGACGCGCATCAAGGTTTTTCTGTCAAAATTTGTCTTTTTTATTTTATCCCCGAATAAGAAGCGCATGCACCCTATTTTTAGGGACTCTAAAATTAAAATATTTTAAAAATTAAAAACCTACCAAAATTGAATTGAGACATGAATTGATCCTGAATTTAACCAATTTCCAATCACTTCCATAAAAAAATTGGTCGTTCCTTTGAAAAAAAGTCCCATGGAATTTCATAGAATTCTCCACAAAAAAGTCAATCAAAATCATTCTCAACTTCGGAAACTAAATCCACGCATTGTTTTCAGGAACAAATTTTCACTAGCTGTATTTTTCATGAAAGCGGTAGACCCTGAGCAAAAATCTACTCCTTGCAAATTTCCTCTAGCAATTCTGATTTTTAAGATGTACATGGTCACTTTCAGTCCGTCTATGATTAGAATTTGGTAGAATTCACAATCAAAAGCAGAAAATTTGTGAAAGTTTGCATGAATCATTAATTTCACGAAGGAATCAAATTTGCGAGGCGCTCGCATTATTAAGGAATATAACACCAAGTCATCCGGAGTCTAAATTATAGCTCCTATTTTTCATTTGAATGATTTAATATATCATTCTATCTGTATGCGAATCGTACTCACCAGCACGCAATGGATCCCAAATTCTGCAAGCTCTTCACGCACTTTCGGCACATCCAACAACGTCACCACTGTTGTTTCCATGATCATCACTTCTGGCGACTTCAAAACGCGGTTGATGTACCAACGCTGAAGTGAACATCACTTTGTTCATGTGTGCATCAGATAAAAGTAGCATCTTCTTGCTCAAGCAAGGCAGAAAACACCGGTGACTTGAAATATCCTACTGCTCTTCCTGTCATCGACCTTAATCAACTTCTGAACGAAAATCGACCAGTTCGTTCGTTCATTAACCCGAATAAGCCGCGAAGTGAATCATACACGCGCGTCACACGACTATGCAGAGTAACACGAGTCGGAAGGGAGCAGTGTTCAGGTTACGCACACATCCTTATTATTTCTTTAAATAACGAGCAAGATGGAGAGTGGAAACGGATCCGCTCTTTCGTTATGCAAGGTATTGCGTGATTGTAAAATATGCCGCTTGAATACCCCTTTTTTTTTTAGATCGAGACTTGATCAGAGATGAGTCTGATATGACCGGAGAAGTGAGGAGTGATGTGAGCATCATGTCTTCAGCACCAACAATCGCGAAAACCAGCGCGATGCGATGTCGCTGCTGAAAAAGTGAAGGCTGGTCAGCTGGTGACAGGGAGCTATTCAAGGAGAGATGAGTAATCCAAAACATTAAGTATCCTTCTTATGTTTTGTTTTTTTCTAAAAATGAAGCGTCGCATCCGCCATTCAGACTTCCGGTCTAACTAGAGGAGAACGACACCTATATTAAATTGACGAGTTATCGGAAGCGGTGTTCCGGGGGTCCCCATACCGCGGCGCTGTGAATTGGCTGAGCTTCATTTCGCCTGAATTTGCACCATTCACGTGAAGGATAAACGTCGAGGCCACTTCTGCTGTTATGCGTAGGACGTCATCCGTCCGAAGAAGTTTTGATTGTGGTGAAACTTGCGGGATCGTGATAACTCCGAGTAGACCATAGTGGGACGTTGTACATGCCTTTTTGGACTTGCGAAGAGAAAGACTACTGCTTGTAACTGTCCGCCTTGAAGACTTGGTGTTTTAGCCGTGCTAGTGTTTCATGATATTGGATTGACAAGTAAAGATGCTTGTGCGATGAAAACTTAAAATATGATGGAAAACTAGTCAACTCGCTTATCCCTCATGATAAGTGTTATCTGGAGTGATTCACGCGTCACCCTGATTCGTGCGGAAGTTCTGCCTGTTGCGTCATAGCGAGAAATATGACCACCACATTGCATGCATCTTCTCAGGGAAACGATTGTGATGAGGTTTAGCTGTTCGCCGGAAATGAACTAGCTTCATGTACTCCTTGATGTATGGCGGCGTGGAATCCTACGTAGTGAAATACTGAAATTCGTGTGAAGCGTTCGTTTTTGAGATAGAGTTGACACTAATTCGCGTGTTTCCATTTTTTTATGTCTCGTGAAAAGCAGAAATTATTGTGTGAGCAAATGGAGCAGAACGTTGAGCTAGAGCAAAGTGACGTGAACCAAACGTGTTTTGAATCGCAACGTTGTGGAAATACCCTGAAGAAGATTGGTCGTGGCGATGGTTTGATGTATTTCTCCCACGAGAACAACTGTTGGAAGCCGCCGTACTGCAACTTCGCAGTTCCGAAACTTTTCTGAAAGTCAACGGAAGAGTTCGGTTATTGTGCTAAACCCCGTACTTTCTTCAAAATATGAATAATTTTTCCTCGGGCCCAAGCTCGTCGAAATCGTTGTCAATGCATTGCGGCGCTCCTCAGCGTGGCTTTCATATCTTCCCCGGAAATGCCTTGCACTTCATGATGCCAACGTGTCCGCAAAAAGAATCAATGTCCATCTTCCCCGTTATGTCGAATGGGATGACATGTGAAGATCCACTCGGTCAATTTATGGATCCCGAAGTCAAGTTGGACGTTCTTGTCCGCAGCAAACTGAATCCGAACGCTCCGGAATTTCGTTCCCAGAGAAGCACTAGTTCCCCTAGTGTTTTAGACATCATGACTGAGAAGTTTGGCATCGTTCATCGTACCGAGATTGTCGATCCGGTGGTTTGTTCCGACATGTCCGCGCCAACATCTTGGCGGGACTGTCGGAATCCACTGATCCTTTCCATTCTTGGTGATGATTCTTCTGACATTGGAGGAGATGACGAAGAATGGGTAACTACCTTTGCTGTAAATAAACGAAATAGTACGATTTTCTCACGAGTATCTGTGTCACTTGCTTTCAAAGGATTGTGTGGATGGTTACGATCCCCAGCACGGCAACTCAACGAGTCAGAAGACTTTGGAACTTGCACGGAAGCGCGTCCATTTTAAGGAAGAAGTTCAAATCCATGAACTCGACGATGCTGATGAACCATCTCGTGCTGGACCCTGGCACTCCATTTATCTAGACTCGGTGCGTTTCCGGGACCGAGTAGTTCGTGTGGAGTCTCTCCTCTCTTCAGTTCTGCAACCTGATCATCGTTCTAGAATTTACGAATCCCGATTCTCTGTGCCTTCAACTTCGGTTCCCCGTTAAACTGCTTTAAGTTGAGGTTTTATGGTCGCTGAATAACCTTTGAAGATGGTTTATTTTTTGCGTGGTGGTCTACTTCGGTAAGCGGGGTTCGTCATATGATTAAAATGCTTTTTGTGTGATTTCGGATGAGTTTGGCGTACATAATTACTGGTTTCGTCAGAAAGCTTGACAAAGCAACGTCATTGTTACAATTGTGATTGATCAAGGGAGGTGTAACCGACCAGAATGTGCTTCATTGTTGTAATATTTGGATTACATTAGAAATTACAGTAATACCCAGCTTAACCTTCTACCCAAAAGTGTCCATAGTGAGTCTTTTCGACTCACGTGAAATTGTTATGGTTGCACTTCCGGTGTTCAGTCACGTTTTGTACCAGTACCTCAAATATTTTTTTGTCGAATCTGGAGAGATTGCTTTCCGGCATGTTTTTCTCTCTCTCGAACGTTTTCAGATTTCCTGTGATTGTAATACCGCGGCGATCGCGAAAAAAAATCGTAGAATGGACGACGGGATTATGAGAGTAGACCCAATGGATCTACAGATGGACGACGACGATTTCAACGTTTCCCAAGAATTTCTTCAGCAAGTGGATCAACTGGCAACGCAATACTATGAGACGACTATTGTAACGAAAAAAAGACGGGTTAGTGAAGAGCCCGAGACGAACTACAAGAACGAGTTCCTGGCGAAAGATGGAGAAGCTAAGTTGTTGCGCGCGGAAGTGCAGAAGTTGAGAGAAGAGCTTGTTCGAAAAGATAAAGCCGTTCTCTTTGAGAAGAATGAGAAACTTCGTCAAATGGAAGATTTCTGCAAAAGAAGCAGACTCGTGGAGTTTCAACACCGAGATATAGTTCGGAAAATGAAAGCCAATATGGGATATCAGGTCCGTTTGTATTTTTTTAATAATCATATTCATGAAAAAACCACTAACTTACGAATTAGTTTGTACTAATTAACTTACGAAGAATCACGGCAAGAGTTACAAATAAATACTTTACTGTTACCTTCATTGTAATACAGTAAAATTGTCGGCCAAGTTTTCTAACGAAAAACTGTTCAGAAACGAGGTTTTCCAAGTAAGAATAAACTGTCACTTCTCCTCATTCGCCCTGTTGATCGATTTCGCCTTATCATTTTCCCCCATTAGGAACGGAAGGCGCAGGAAGCTCTTAATGAAAGTCGACTGGCTGTAACCAGTGAGAAAACGAGTGTTCCAGTTGTGTCGAAGAAAATATTGAAGCACGAAGCCGTCCAAACGTCTGCCGCAAATTTCAGAAACGTCCGAGGTAATTCTTCACACGAATGCGAAAACGCGTTTTTGGCCTCCAACGTAACCTGATTTTCTTATTTCACTTCGCGATTCACGCATTGATCTGTTCTTGAAAGCGTGAATATTTTTCTGAGTTGCAAACACGAATTAAGTGTCAACGGAATGTGTGTGGTTGAAATTTCCAGACATCATTTGGACAAGCATGGGTATATTACTTCTGGTAAGGAAGGATACATTCATGGTCTCTTCGGGAGGTAAATCTAGTGGCTGGCGTTTGGGGATTGGAACGAAATTTGGGACTTCCTCGAGAAAACACGTCAGTCCGAGTGGAAATTTTTAGCATTCTCAGAAAATCGATTCTTGTCTCTGAATCGTCTGTTGGATTGGTGGTTGACGAATTATGCTAAATTTAGCCCTTTGAGAGCCAGAAATTCACTCTTCGCTCCGGAGACGCCGAGTGGTTGTTGGGATAGCGTCATGATTTTTCATTGCGCCTTTGTGGATCACCCTTTTTTGTGTAACCTAATTGAAGAAAATATTGTTGATATTTTTCAATTTTTTTTCATGTTTGAAAATTTGTTTGAATATTTCAGAATCAAGAGGAAAATTGACTTCTGAAAATGTGGACCTGCTCAAATCGTTCTGGCCATGGAAACCCTCGGCGGATTTGAGACATGCTTTGGTTACCAGTGCGATCGGAAACGATCGTCAGCCTCATGCTATCGTTCACCAAAATCTGGAAACTGCATTGAGTTTGCTGGTTGAGCTCTCCTCGGATCCACGTCAGTTCTCTTCAAATCGTGGTCTCCTGCAACTAGAAGACGCCGAAAGCTTGGCCAAGGCCTTTTCCGTGAAACGACCGAGATGCGTCAGCGAGGAGCTTGTTTACAAGTGCCTCTTGCTCGAAACCCGATGTCGTGATTATAAAGTGCGTGTTTGTTTTGAACTTTTGGTTGTTGAGAAAAGCTTGTTCATCGTGTGATGTTTTTGTTGCAGGTTTCGCGCCAACATCGCTTTATTGCCGGCAAACTTAGTGAGGAGGTGCTGTGTATGCATCTGAGAATAGCAGAAAAGCTGAATAGCGCTTTGTGAGTCATCCTCTTCACTCAAAAATGAAAAATTATATATTTTTTGTTTTCTCATTCTGTTTGAGTCTGAGCATCGTCAGAAATTTCAGTATGACTTGAGAAACAGGAATTGTGGAAACAAATTTCCTGTCTCTGTAGAGCTTTGTTTAGTTTTGGGCGAGTCGGAGAAATCCTGGAAATGCCCTCGTATGTACGAAGCTCCGTTGCAATCATTTCAGCGATAAATTCGAAGAATTTCGCATAGCTTGAAATTTGAAATCCTTCTTTAAAAAGGAAAATTAAATGTACCTTAATCTTCGTTTTTTGTCGCTGTCACAGAACGAATGCTGTAATTGCAATGGCTTCTAATTGGATATTGGAGAGAGATTCATCATCGATGTGTATTTTGGGGTTTTCCACTTTGGAAGTGCTGCTTCTGTCCGAAGTCGCTCATTCAGGGAACTGCACGAACCCTCGTCAAGGTATGCACTCATATTTTTGTAAAAATCATCACATTTCCGTTGGCTAGTTTTTTCCGGGTTTTCTGGTTTCAGTGAACAGTAATGAATGTTTCGTATAGGGCAACGTTTTAGTTCTAGATGGAGTTTAAGTACTATGAAATAAAGAGGCCGCTTTTCTCCTGCTTGAAGCAAGGGCTTAAATCTCTTGTTTCTTCAATTTGTAGAATCAGCGAGTCAGTCCAATGTTGTCAACCTGTATGGAAGGACTAACAATTTTCTGAAATTATGAAAATATCCCCTTTTCCGAAAGCTGAAAATCTTGACGCATTTTGAAGATGCTCTTACAAGATTCTTAAGGTGATCGACTATAATTCATGTGAATGATCTTTGATAGTATTACATTTTCCATGAGTGAAAAAAGAGTTCCGTATGCAGTTTTGTGCGTTTATGAAGATTTTTCGCGCAAGATTTTTCGAAAGTGAACTTATGTTGCATCATTGAAGAATCATTTTCAGCAGTTCAAATTTTGGCCACATCTCCTTAGTTTTTGAAGCACGTAAGCTTTTGTATCATGCGATTAGAAATCTGGATTCAATTTTCCTGCGCACTACCTTTTTGGCCATTCCGTGAGTTAAAATTGTCATTGTTACTTATTCACGTGAAATCACTTGCTCAGAAGTTGTTTCAATAAAGATTATTTAATGTATCTTGCAGCCGAGGAAAGTCTTGAATGCATATTCAGCACCGCGCTTTTGAACGCGTGTAAAGACGAGGCGTGGACGGGGCGAGCTTTGAAGTTCCTCATGGCAGGAGTTTCGGGTCACGGCGAGACGCGCACCGCGAGCGAATCTTCTGGCGTGTGTCGAGTCGCCTTGGCCGCCGCGGAGTTCGGGGTGGAACTCATCTCCGCCACGTTGGACCAGCATTGTGATGATAAGAGTTTCGTGGGAAACTGCGTGCGATTTCTGGAGCTGATTACGGTCGGCAGAGACTTGATTGGATCATATTTGAAAGTTGGCGGCATTGTCGAGGTGATAAAAATGCGGTTGAAAAGTCTGGGAGTCGGTCCCGGGATCGGTGAGCATTAATCATTTTCATATTCATGCATTTACGTTACTATTTACAGATTTCTCGACTAAAAAAAAAGAATACATATATCCTGGATGATTCTCTGGGTAGACGCAAGAAATTCCACCCAGACACGCTGCCAACCTTTAAAAGCCAAATTTCATCGCTGATTGTTGTTCCTTTTTTTTTAGTCTTGTTATTTTTACCATATTCCGGAGATCTCTGACAGGTTCCCGAGTTCGAGGAGGATTGCATGAAAATTTTTTTTTAAATTCACGAAGAGATACTCTGAATTCCTTGCATTATCTTGCAACAACGTGCTTTTGTCACCGAGGAAAAGTAAGGAAATGCTATCTGCATTGTGCAAGTGCCTATTTCCTAATTACTGTATTGAAGTTCCTTTCGAATAGTTCCAGGCAGTACTCGTGAGAAGATTCTTTCACGTGTTGTCCAACAAACGTCTATTATCAGCATATTCTTGTGTCTAATCCCAGGAGAATTAATCTTTATCTTCCTTGATGGTTATTGTTACTTGTAAATTTGGATTCTGGAGTGTTCGACAGGTTTCGCCTAAATCACGAAACTCACTGCCAACAACTTACAGTAATCTAATCCAGCAGATCGAAGACAGACGCACGCAAACCAGCAAAACCGCTTCCGAAACTAGTAGAACTCAATATAATGCAAGACGTGGTAAAACTTGTAAAAAAGCAGACGACACCTGTGTAATGGTGAATGAAATGACGGAATCCCAGGCGTCGAACGCTGAATATTTAAAAATTTTCTAGTTCATTCGAGATAGCGTTGTCGTCTGAACCATGACGATCCAATAAATGAATCTGATGAACGATAACATTATTTACGATAACTTTTTCTCACTCAACCTACGTGTTTCATACGAGAAACATATCTTGGCCATGAATCGATGGAAGTGTTTGATTTTTTGTTGCAGAAGCTGCCTTCGGGAGCATCCTGAGGTTTCTGTCTGCAGACGACGAGGGACTTTGACTCTGCACATCTTGTCAAAGTGGGATCGGAGTGAGGTGGAAGCTTTTGAAAAGTGCATGGAAGTGTTGTTGGTTCCGTCGTTTTGGATGATGTCGTTTATCTGTGTTCACGTATGCATCTCGAGATTGCTTTGTAGTTTTTGCATTTTTTTTTTACAATGAAACATGTGCGATTACCATGCCTGGCAGTATTTTTATATCGTGCACTAGGAATATCACTCGAGCTGCGTATTTGTTGCTCGGTATGCTCTGATTCTCGTATTTTTGCAATCCATTGCTTTAGGTTACAGTGGTGTTGGTTGTGTTCTGTTTTGGTTCTGTCGTCTATTGTCGACTGAAAATGGCTGCCGATGGTAAGATTTTTGCTTGATTTGCCCTTTTTTTATACATTACATGGAGTATTATCGAAACGAGGAGCATGTAGTAACGGTTTAAAAACTCTTATCCAACTTATCTTTGCCGTCTGCATGCAAAACATTTATTTGACAGAATCTACACAGGTTTGATTGCCACATTGAGTTGAATTTGTACATACAGTATTCGTGTTCAATAAGAATACAGAATTCGTATGCAAACATTTGTGATTGATCAAATCATTCACATGCTCCTGATGGTGTTGGTTCTAATATTATCCTTGATACCTGTATCAAGAATCTAGTTTCAGCATTTATATTCTGAGAAACTCATGATCAACAATTCCGCGAACTAAAAGCACAACATGCAGAGTATTCCGAAATAATTTCGACCAATATTTAAGAAGCAGTATATTCTGGACTGAAGAAGCTTGAAATGCTGAATTCAGTCTATACAGTAATAGAAGTTCACTTCAATTTTTTTTGAAAACTGTATTTTACTTCGCAATATTTTTAATATTGAGGTCATTTATGAAATATGCTTTAAAAATTACTAAAGAATACAGAACATTTCATTGACTTTGAATATCTCCTAAAAATCTTGACACGTTTTAAATTGATAAACAGAATTTAACTTGAGAGGCGTCTGAACTGCCCAGGCCTTGAAATTGTGTCTAATTTTTGTTTAAAGATGGTTAGTATCTAAATTTTGGTATAGCCGAGGTTGAAAAAAAGGATGGATGAAATTTTGACACTACAATCTCCATACAATTTCCAATGACGAAAATTTAGAATTTCACTCTGAAATAGTTTATTTCGAGCATTTTTCGGAGATGAATATTTTTAAATTTTAAATGTTTGTTTTATTGTTCTCATGCCTGTTGTAATGGGACGTACGATAAAAAATGGAAGATGTGTGAAGCACTGATACTACTTTGCTTCGCAAATTTCTCAAAAATACGGAAAAAAATACTACATAAGTGCAAGATCTGATTTAGACCATTCATTTATTTTCTTTTGAATGGAACTACCATTCTTCAACCATAATAGAACGAAACTTGTTCGTTGCAGAAATGACCCCACAGAAAAGATCCCCTGCATTAAAATTATTTGGTCGTGGCAAAAAGGGATACTCATAAAACTGTACACCAGTAAGTCTACTTGTGAGTAAAAATATGTAGGTTTCCAGTGATCGTAGTTTTGGAATTTCACTTGTTTTTATTTCTCGCTTGAGGTTAAAAAGAAATTACCTCATACAGTAAATGAAAATATAATTTCACGAAATAATAAAACATGTGCTGTCGAAGTCTTTTACATTATATGTATTGATGAAACTTGAAATTTTTTGACGTATTGAAAGCAAAAAATAGCTCTCTCCATTTCAGCAACTTGCTCAAGTTTCTCAGATTTTTCTTAAATGAATACAGCATGCATACTATTGAAACTATCATACGGTATTGTTCTATCATTAGTTTTTCGTCTTCAGATAAAATTATATTGGTGTTGGTTTAAAAATCCGTCGTAGCTTCTCTGGGCCACCGTTTAGAATCTATTCGAGGAAATTTAGAGAAATTTTCAATTCTCTTGTTTTCCGATGCGAAGGTTATTTTAGTTAATAATTTTGTTTACTAGACTCTCTTGGTATGATCGGCATTGAGTTTTTGACGATTTGAAGTTGCATTTTATGCTCGGGAAGTGATCGTTTCTCCGGTTTTTCCTTTTTTCAAGTTTTGTACGTGTTAAATTTTTCTCTCACTCGAATGGAGAGACTCCCAGCTCCTACGTGATTGTCAACATTTCGAATAAGCGCTGAATTGTAAAAATTATGTTTCTAGGCGAGGAATCGACGCCGACGGATGATGCTCATCAGGATGATGAAGTGTTGAGGAAGATGGACACCCTGCGGAAGATGATGCCGTCCAACGCCTGTAAGTTGCCTTCTTCACATGAGAAAAAGTTTAGTAGCTCGTGAATCACCTACAACATTGTTCTCTTTCATTTTTTATCAGGTGACCCAAGGTCGCTCACTTTGGACACCCGGGCCCGAGCCGACAGTACGAAGCAACCGTCGCGACGGGACAAGTTTCGGTCGTTGTACTGGAAGAACTCATTGCGTAGGAAGCATCGGGATGCCCAACGTGCTAGAAGTGTCGACACCGTGGATCGAGTAATAGTGCCGGAAAACCCCGAAACCTACATGATGGAGTACCTGCAAAATGTGACAGTGGGGGACGAAACGGCAATGATGTGAGAGCTACTTGACCCATTCCCTGCCATGGGTCCCATTTGGTACTCCTTGGTTTTGTGCCATGCAAGAAAAAATAGGATCCCAAAAAAATCTTCTGAAATCTTCGTTTACTCCCCAGATAAGTTACCTACAAGTTTTATCCTCATTTGGCAAAATCCGTCTATTTTTCATTGTCCAGGAAAAAGTTTTCTGAACGCAACTCACAAATTCTGATCAAACATTAAAACTTTTTTTGGATTGCAAGAAAAGTACTTCCTACTGCAGCTAAATGCATTAATTTAGTATTTCTTGATGCCGTATAAAATGAGAGGGCCCCGTTTAGGGATCAAACTGAAATTCACAATACAGTAATTGAAAAAATGTTGGTTTTAAATTAAATTTCATTCTACCCTATTTGAGAAGGAGTGAAGTAGAATCAAACAAAAATGGTTTTTGGGGAACTTTTGCAGTTGATGGGTTTAAAAATGTTGAGATTTTTTTTCACCCGACTGTAGATTTCCTTGTCAATTTTTTAACGCGCCTTAATTTTTTCCATTTTTGGGAGTACGTGAACGACCCTTTTTAAGGCGATCCCAGGCTTCCAGCTGGAAAAAATATGAAAGAGGTTTGCGCAGTCTAGAAATGAACAAAAGATTTGAATTTGTATTTTAATGAAGGAAATCGTGCTCCTCGAATTTACGAGTTTTGCGTGTTTCAGGGACGAGCTAAAAAGCATGGCCGAGCCTTTGACTCTTCGACGTCGAGTGAAACGAACCCTGTCTCAACAAGCAGGCAGACAGAAAAGAAAAGCCAAATCGATCCCGCTTTGTAGTCTGATGAAGTACAGCATTTCCATGGGCTTTCGACGATTTGGGCTTGGGTTGAGAGAAAGCATGCGGGACTGGCAGTTGTGGAACAGCTCGCTCAAAACTATTGAAGGAAATTTCGGCACTGGGATCGGGAGTTACTTCAGGTTTCTTCGCTCTTTGCTGTTGATGGACGCCGTTGTTGGCTTGCTTGTGTGAGTTTTCGTATTGTGTGGACTGTTTCGTTAATGTATGATGGTTTTTTAATGCTTTTTGCGCGTCTCTTTGAACCCTAATTTCGAGAATGCTGTTCAAATTTTGTTAACACAGACAAGGAACGGTAGATGTCACATCATATCGACACGTTTTCGCTTGAGTGTCGTAGAAACACACTTTCTTCATTTGTCATCTTTATTGTAGTCTGAGAAAACAAGAAAAATGATGGTCCGCCTGCAGTCGCATTTTTGAGTGTGATTTGAAAAATTTGTGAAGATTACTCGCATTTCAATCGTCTTCCTTCATCAACTGCTCACTAAAAATCTTGTGTTCCATCAACATGAACTGAAAGATGAAATTTATGTTCGCAGATTGGCGTTCGTGATTATACCTCACTGGCTCGCTATGGCGAATCCAGAAGCTTCTCAGGAGATCGCAATAAATGCGACAGGTGAGAATCGACATTCCACTTTCGTCTTCTCACAGAGGATATGTGCTGTACGAGGATTGCAAATTTTTTGTTCATTCCGCAGATGTAGTGTTCAGAGAAAAACCTGTGTGGAACGTGTTCTATCGGAATGAATTAGGGATGTCGAATAAGAGCCAGGAGGATTTCCGTCTCCAGGATTTGGTAACTGGCGAGGTACGTTGAACATTTTAAATTTCAGTTTTAGCCTGAATTCCTTTCAGTGATGCCATTCGAATAATCTTTATTTTAAATGCTGTTTTGCATTGTAACAGAAAATGTTCATGCCATCCTCCGTTTTTGCTGTTTTTGACTGGAACATCTTCGGTATGGTTTCGCAGGGTTATTTGAGGGATTCGTTTTTGTTCTACGGCACTTACACCGATAAAATTCTGACCCTGTACCAGAATCGGGATTATTACCTGCCCCATGCTTATTTCTTTGCTTTGGTTGTGGGAATGATGTTGGCGATTGCAATCATATCCAGAGCGTGAGTCTTACAATTTTGCCGGTTTATGCGAGAATACATTTTTATTTTATTTTTTCCTAGGACGGCTTCTTCATTTCGTCAGAACTTCATCGCGAGGAGTGGGAATCGGTTGGCTGTCGTCAGTCTTGTTCTATGTGGCTGGGATTTCAATGTTACCTCCAAGGCATCTGCTAGATTTCGCTCAAAATTCATCAGGAAAGATTTGCAAGTGAGTGGATCTTCCAACATTTCTCGCTGCCGTGCTCGATTTGCGCGAGATTCTTTTCTTCGTCGAAGTGTGGATGTCACGTGAATTTTGTGGGTCGTCATTGAGCCTAGTGTCCACGAATCCGCAAAGAAAACACCATACCGGAATATAATTAAATTTAGCGGACGTATCTCCTGACCTGATGTAGAATTTAGTCTTTCGTACGCGAGAACAATTTTCCTAACTGAATCCAACGCTCAGCTAACAAAAGGAATAGTTCCTAAGCGCTTCTGCTTCGTGAAAATAATTCTTACCCCCTGGATTCTCTTGACCCAAGGTATACAAGTGCAAATGTTCGTGTTTGGTTAGATTACATTGTCAGCTCAGTAATTCATACGACACCAACTTGACTTGACAGTCAGCAATATTGGAATATAAAGTGAGAAGAGCCTCTTATTTGTATTTTTATTATTATGATATGGTTTTTGACAGTAAGTAATTTTTGTGTTTCTATTGATGTCCGAACAATCCGTTTTGAACTAATATTATGGTCTTTCGTAGGAGTTCGCAGAAACGCTGACGAAAAATGTAGAACGATGGACATGGAGAAGAATTGGCTTTATGGCATTGACGAATGCTGCTGTGATTCTGATCGTTGGTGGATTAGTTGTTGGTTTTTTCTTCATGCTCAATTCCGGTTCTGTCGATACGGGAACGCCGCAGGACAGAGACGCATTGCATTTATATGGTGTCCCGATTCTGGCGTCTACTGTGATGTTTGTGCTCCCCATGGTGTTCTCAGTGCTGGCCGAACACGAAGGTTACTCGAATCCTCGAAGTCAGCTTTATGTCACACTTATCAGGTAACGTACTAACGCTCTTATCGCTGGAATGGATTTGGTCGGACTGGACCTTTTTTTATTTTAATAACTCGTGATGATGGTTTCGGGGTATGAAGCATGGTTGAAAATTTTAGTCAGTTCCTTGAAATCATGTACTTTGTGTAAACATTTTCTGAGTGAAGACCATTGTGAAATTGATAACGAGATTTTAAGGGAGAGCTTCTGTTCATTTGATGTAAATTCTCTCGATTCGCACACTTGTGGAACTTGGCTCACCATTTGAGTTTTCTCTTGAAATTTCACAATCAGCATTATTAATGCAGAAATTTCAAGTTCTATTCGTGGGACACGGTTGTCGAATCTGGTTAATTTTCACAAGATTTTTCTATCATATGACATACTTGATAGCTCTGGGCAACCTGCGAAGTCGTAAATCAAGCAAGTGTGGCACGTAAACTGTATTTATTGACAGTTCGGGTGCGCTTTCAACTTCGTCTGTTATTAATTTCAATGGGATAAGCATAATTTCGGACAGTGATCATGAGATGATGAAACTTTATTCCGTTAAATTACAATCCAACTGCACTTGAATAGGGTAGTGATGCACTGACAAAACTTCTCAACCAACTTTTTTTTTCGCAACATCTATCAGTAACAACCCAATTTTTCTCTCAAAATCTGCTTTCAAAAAGTAAGTATCTAGAAAAAAATATGCGGAAAAGCTAAATTTAGTGATTGATCTACGTACTTGTATGTACAGTACAGAAGTCTGTTCTCCCTTTGTCATTTTCGTGATACTGTACATCGCGAATGATTCCATGACGTTTTTAATTCGTCGTCATCTGCTTCAGAAGCTTGGATCCTTAGAATTAATTTGGGAGCCGTTTTTATCATTTTAATGTTTTTCGCATATTCATTTTTTGTAATTTTTAATAATTTTAAAATTTCTTTTGTTGAGCAGATCATTCCTGTTGCAATGTGCCGTCCTGGCAACGGTCGCTTATTATTGCGTAAATTTATCGAAGAAGGAAGAAGTTGAGGTGAGAGTAGTCAAGACCGGATTTGGTTTATGGTTCGATGTGAATTAACAAATTTTTTCATTATGAGCAGTGCTGGGAGACTACATTCGGAAGCATGGTGTACAGACTTGTAATGATGGATTTTTTGCTCGTTGTGTTGCTTGGCTCAGCCGCAGATTGGTTGAGAGCTCAAATTTCCAAGTGAGCGAATTTCAGGAAGATTCTTTTTCCGAGATATGTGCTCAAAATTTTTTCAATTCGCAGGCAAATTAAGCTTTCGCAGACTGAAACGAAAAGCAAGGTGGGGATGATTTTTAGTCCACCGGTTTTCGACGTCGCAAGGAACACCATGAACCTTGTGTACAATCAGTCGCTCCTTTGGCTTGGCTTTTTTTATTGTCCATTTCTGCCGCTCATCGCAGTTGCGAAATATTTCGTGACGTTCTTCTTTAACAAGGTTAGTTTGTGTTCCCCTCAGTTTTTGGAATTTTTTGGCACTATAATGACTAGAACTGAAATGGCGTCCGGATTTAGTTTTCAATGCGATTCACGACCATTATTCGGCTTATCGTTGCAGTACGAATTATTATTGGTGTGCGATAAGCAGAGACAGAAAATGTGGAGAGCTGCGCAAGCAAACTCCGTGTTCCTTGGACTAGCTTTCTCTTCAAATCTGATCACCATGGCTTTCTTATTCTATTCCATGTCTACGTGAGTATATTGCTTGCCGTGTATCGCTTAAATTTGCAAACTTTGAGTCCTTTGTTCGATTGCATTTCCAGGTTCCCTTCATCAGGCTCTTGTGGTCCTTTTGTCGCCCTGAGATTTTCAGGAGACCTGGTCGTGGATATCCTGGACGACTGGGACAAATCCTCAGACTTTCTTTTGTCCGTGCTCGTATTTTTGCAGGGCAGTTGGCCGAAAGCTGTGGCCTTCATGATAATTCTGTGAGTTCGGATTACATCTGACCTTCAGAGAAACGAGGGATGGTCCGTAGATTTATCTGAAATGAACCAACAAGATTTTTAGCATGAGAAAATGACTTCTGAAACACATTACCGCATAATTCAAGGGTGCGCTAGTGTTACTCAACACGTACAGTACTGCAAAATGTCAATGCATTTTTTCTTGCGATAAATCCGACGATTGAAACTACTGTACAGTATCTCTAAAATGTAAAAAAAAAAATTCAGTGTTCGAGAATAAATTTTTAAGTCTCCATTTCTGCGTCAGCATTCTCGAAATTATTGTGAGGTTCAAATCGGCTTTCTCTTTATCTGCCGGAAATTTAGTTGAATTCAAGCCTTCATTTGAACCACTTGTCGAAATTTAAGAACGCCTCTCGCCTCTTACATTTTGTATCAGGGATGGCATAAATGTCATGATAAAATACATCATTTATCTGGAAAATTCGCGCGACCTGGAGCATTGTTACCAAGATATTATTTCATTTATTGATGACATTTTTTGTCCTTCTGACTACCGACAAATTCGCCAAGTCTCAAAATTTAATGACCATCCATCTTAAAGGCAAAAAATTGACGGCATTTCTTGAAGCACCATTTTCTCTCTTCCAGAGCATTCCTGTTCTATTTGAGGGAAGTGTGCGAAGGGCATCGACAAATCACGGAGAGGTTGATGACTCAATTAAAGGAGCTTCGGTCTGATAAAGCCTATTTTTTTAAGGAGATTGAGAAGCAATACGCGTTACGTAAGTTTCGTGTAGTTTCCTGACATGAACTTCTTCGGGAGTCCAAGTTTATGATTCAAAATCTCCTAGGATCCCCTGTTGGATCAATAAGTAGACTCGGAGCTAATGCTGTGTTTCCTTGTAAAATTTTCTTGTAGGTCGGGGTTTGCCAAATGCGATGACTCGTGAAGATTTGAATAATTTCGGAAGAAAATCTTATATCCGAGGGCTTTCGATGGATGAATCCCGCAACAGTTTTACGTCACGAGAATCGTTTCTACCTGGTCGCATTCGCGGTCAAGGTGATGCAGAATTGATTCCCATGCAGGTTGGTCAGGATTCTAGAATTTACATGAGGACTAAAATTATTACTGTATCCGGTTTCCCGCCCACACTTGAAAAATAAAAATTCGTTGGGAATTTGATTCGATTTATTTGACGCACTTCCGCAGCATATCTTTCACGTCCTTGAACAGACTTCTCAGCTCTCTGGTTCAAAATATTGCAACATTTTACGATTTACTCATTTTGTTCTCTTTCAAACTTGAAATTTTCCATTCTGGATATTTCAGACCACTGTCTAACCATCAATAATTTGAGCACATTCGCAAGGTTGTTGCACTCGAACGTTGCGAGAGACAAAGATAATCAAATCTGAAATCCTATCTAATTGTGAATTATCATTTTGTATTTTAAAAAATTTGAAAATTGGATTTCGTGCAGAATTATACACCACTATTGTCCTTTCAAGGATTTGAAATTCTTTCAGCACATGAGACCTGTGGAAGCTGCAGAGACTGAGGTGTTGGTTACCCTACAGGATCATGATGAGGAAAGTGATGAGGAAACCGGGCCAGGTATTGCCTCTACTCCTGCTGCTGGCCATAATCCTGGTAAGTGTTCCTGCTTTACCGCTTGGAATTTTTGCTGCACTTGGTTTTAGTTTTAAATTCATTAATTTATCGTGATTATTTCATGTTCAGGGTGGATTAGATAATTTCGATACTCTATTGGAACTACGTCCCAAATATCTCTGAATGCTGACACGCTGAATATGGGCTCTATCAAGAACTCACGAGATCACGTTAAAAAGAGAAAAACAATGTCTGTTTTTCTCTTTTTTAACGTGAAAAATTACTCAAAATTCCCTGGGCTTTTTGAGTGAGATAAAATTACGGTAGACCCTCAAAAGCGTTGGTGCAGTAATCTACTGTAAATCAGAAAGTAAAATCATATGAACATGCAACGATAAAATTCGTTTCAAATAACCGTATGAAATTGAAAGAGACTAATAACTAATTGGTCCAATTGCGACAAGTGCTCGGTGCGGGGGAAATCAAATATTCGTGGGTTCTATCCGAAAAAAAAATCGTCGTGCGATTCGTTTTCTATCACAACAGATTATGCTCGATGTGAATGAATTTTTGATAGGAATCAATAAAAATGGAGGTACTGTACTGTACTCGGAAAAAAGCGAAGAAGTTGGAACCCAGTTTTACAATCTGCTAGTAAAAATTTTCTTGATGTCTCATAATTTGTTCCACATTAATCGTAGCTTATTGTAGGAAGGATCGTTCGTTCATTGACTAAGATGGGTTGATGTAATCGTCGTAAAAGTCTATATAGTCTCGAACTGATTCTTCATTTTTTTTTCGGTGTAGTTGCTTGAACATGTTCTTGGGTTTCGTGGTAGTTTTCAGAGTGGAATCCGCGATTGATCCAGAGTTGGCGGGTTTGCGGACAAATGCGCCAGCTGGAGCCAGAAGTCGGAGACTGTGGTCGCCGAGAAAGCGTTGAGAGGGTGCTTATTGTAGCTGCGATTGTGAAGATTCGTTTTGAAACTCGTGTGGCTGTGCTTTGTGTTTTTGCGATTAGATTCAAGGTTGTAGTGGCTGTAGGAGTTGATGGTACGATTATGGTTCGAGTATTTCCCACGCTTATCAATGTCGGGATGTCGCGTAATTTCACTCGAGGAATTACCGAGCTTGACGCCTTCGCGGTACGCGTCGTAAACATTGCGTCGAAGTAACCTTTAAAAACTTCGGTTTTACGTCACGATGGGAGTTTCAAGATATTTTGATTGTTACTGAGGCTTGTGTGAGATTCTTTGAGTGCCATGAGCAGAAGTGCCTTCCAGAGGTTTCTTTGACCTTTTTGTGGAATCCCGTCGAAAATGGAGACAACGAAGTACAGTATTTTTCGTGAATCTCTTTCCAGTTGTTCATGATTGATAAGCTCTCATATCACTCTCGAGTGCGAAGATTTGAGCTCGATGGAGGTAGTTGCATGATTTTTTCTGATAGTCGAACATGAATATTTCCGGAAACCGTGCAGTATAATATTTTGGTGCATTAATGAAAGACGGAATTTTTAATTCTGTATGCAGTGTCCCCTATTGCCTGATTTTTTTCATGAGAATGTCTAGATGTCGCCTGAATTATGTTACATCCACTGTTACTTCAAGGCTAGATGAATTACATCATGAACTGTTCTTCCAAGTGCGAGAAATCAAGCTTTCTGTAGACAACCGAAGTTCAATTATTTTGAATAAAACCTTTTTCTTGAATGAATCCTGGGTGCAAAGCCCTCTGCCAGTTTTTCTTTCCGCCAGCATACATTTTATTTTTGTGTGCAAAGAGTGACTTCATTTTTGTAATATTTCCTGGAAATTTGTGAATTCCAAATGCAAAACATCTGCTGGAACACTTCAGTCTCAGAAGTGCAGAAAATTTGAACTTTTGGAGTGAGGAATTATACAGAGAATCTGTCCATTTTGTGGGACTAAGATACACATATTTTCGTTAGAGGGGAGGGGGTGGGGCGTCTAATGAAGTGAAACTGAATTAACTGTTGGAAATCAATTGCATATATATATTAAATCAAGAAGCAATCCAACCAGATGAACATTTAGCAATGATCTTGGTGAGTGGTTATTTCTAAAAATTGGTGGATATTTTTTTGAAATTGTTCATGAAATTTTTAATTGACGGGTGGGCAGAGGGATTTTTAATCTCTGCAACAATTATTTTCTACAAAGATTTTTTTGTGATGTTGAACTTTTTTGTGTGTCCCATGCTCCCATGTAGGGATTCTCTGCAAATGAAATTTTCTGGTCCTCTTCAATTTCCTTGTAGAGAGAGTCCACCAGTATTACTGTACTGTGCATCCAAAATTTTACAATCCAATTAAGGGAAGCTTCATTCACGTTGAGACTACATCATCTACTCCGTTGCTTTACTGTTCTTGTCTCTTTTCTATTTCAAACTTATTGCACGAATTTTTTGTATAGAAATTCTTGAAAAAGAAGTCCGATCTTCATTTGAAAAGAAGCAGTTCTGTATAGGTAATTTTTGTATTTTTTAAGACACTGATATGAACATATGATAATCTGAAAGCAAAATTAAGTTATGGTGCTTCATGTGTATAATAGGCAAACATAACACTCCAATGGAAAAATTATAACGCGTCCCACTTATAGGAAGAATTTCTTCCGAAATTTGTTGTGTAACTGTTGCTGGAATTTCTGGGAAAATTACCTCACAGTACTCTGATGAGGAATGCAAATACCGTTCATGTTAGCTTTCGGGTTCAGTGACGGTTTTCTGGGCTGGTGCGTAATACGATTCTCTGATTAATTTATTTTCCAATATTCCAGAAAACTCAGTCGACAACCAAATGTTTCAGACGGCGAATAAGGCCGGCATCGGCTATTCAACCTTCGACGGAATGAATACCCCACGATTCAACCCTTACTTGAGTAATAACTCTTCCCCATCAGATGACGGACGTTCGTCTCCCGAAAGCATTCGTGAAATGCTGCCTGTGTCATACGCGTCTGTGGAAGACTACATCCGTGTAACAAACGACATTTACAGTCACCCGAGTGTCACTTCTCAACGTAACTTTCATCCAGAACCTACTTCGTCTTCGATGATGAGAAATTATTCTGTTGCGCCGTCAGCCCCAAGTTTTGTTGTTGTGCCAGATCCTCGGAAAGTGTCAAAACCTGCCGGCAGTGTTTTGCTTCGTCGCACCAATAATAACTTGCCGAGATCGCCTGATGTGATTCTGCCCACGAAAGCAACAGTGCAGCCGCAGCAACAAGGATGGAATTCTGCGCAGAATTCCATCCCCAGCAGGTTTGGCAGCAATCATGGGAACATTGGACAAGATGATGGATTGAATTCTGCGCGCAGCGGAAGTGCTCTTCTGAGACGAACAAATAATGCTGCATCTCATCGCAGATTTTAGAGCCGAAGCTTGTGTGAAATCGAAAGTGCAATGACTGGTGGATGAAAATGTTCTCAATATGCCCTTGAAATATGTAAAAAAAAAAAAAAAAAAACCGTGTGGGATATCCGGAAAAAATAATTAATCAAAAATGAGTGTATGTTTTCGGTGCTCGTGTTCATCCCCAAATGAACAAAAAATATTGGGCGCATTTTTCCCTTCGACCAGAATGGAATTAAAGCTGATCTTGGCAATCTTATTTGATGTTTGATGATTCGAGAGTTACAATGCAAAATTTTAAAATATATTTTATTGGATGAAAGGAATTTTTTTTCGCCGAGTAAATCAGTCTTGGATTTGCACGAAACAATTACTGAAAGAGTGTCTGGACTCGAAACTTAGCTAATCCACAATATTTTTTTTTTTATGAATGCAGTAAAAGCTTTCAAAAATTACTCTTTCAACATATTGCAAATCTTTTCTTTTTTCATTTTTGCCAGCTCTGGCCGAATATTTTCTCCCAAAATTCCTGCTCAACTTCATCCCCAAAATGTTCTTACAGAAAAGTCATCAAATTCTGCAGAGAGAATGAAGACACGGAAAGGAGCCAAACTTGGGTTTCTTCGCAAATTCTTCTTTCAAGATGAATACGTGATGCTGTTTCTATTTTATTTTACAGCAATGGCAGACACGGTTATTTTTAACCTTACTTTCCACAAAATAGGGTCATCAAAGTCATTATTTCTGCCAGCATAGGTCACCGTGTCTGCTCACTCTGCTGTAAGCGACAAAAAAGTCATTCAGTTCCCGAAAGCACTTTGAACAACGCATTACTGTAGCTGTCAAGCGCAGTAAGACGGAGAATCCTGACAAACGACGTCTGCAAAATGCCAGCAGCTGCTTGCAAGTGAGGTATCCATTTTGTCAAAAAAAAATTAAGAAAAACACGCATGAAAGGTTTGCGATCCTTGCAGAAAGAATGGAAAGGAAGTAAAGAAAAGCTGGCCTACATCGCAATTTTGGACGAATTTGCAGCGAAGAAAAATGAGACGGAAAAATTACAGGAGTGAAGTAATACTGCAGAATCTCTTTATTATGTAGGGAACTACTGTTTATCATAGCTTACAAAAAATTTGTTTTTCAGCACGTCTTAGGAGCAGTTCAATAGCCGAAATGTTTTATGTATACTTGTTCATAAGAAATGTTTTGTTGCTACGATGTTTTCGTCTTGGTGCCAAAGTGGCTTTGTTCTTACAAATTATGTAGTGAAGTATTTAAAACCAAAGTTGATAACCTTGAAGAAATTTTAAAAATTCTTTGTGCAGCAAAAAACAAAAAAAACATGAGACTTCAGCATATATTGTCAAGCATAAAAGTTCAGACGAGGCTGATCATTATAAATAACTATACTGTATATGAAAGTATTTTTTATAGCATATATAGGAAGCAATAATTCAGTCTCTGTTTTTGTCTTCATTATTGTCTGACCTTTTTATGAAGAAGAAAATAACTTATTTACAGTAATTTCAAGTGCAATTTATTTTATTGCATCGATGCAGTCTGTTAAAGTTAAACCCTTCTTTCCATTCGCATTTAATTGGTTTTTTGTGAGAATTACCCTTCAAGTTTTGAAACTCAGTACAGTAATATACACTGCTCTTAAGTGAGATCCTGAGGCTAATGTTCCAATTATAACATTTACCAGAAAATGCAGCAATAATATTAAAGTTATGCAATATTAAAAAAATCAAAACAGCAACGATTTCCCAAAAATTTCTTCCAAGATACGGAATAAAGCCTCTCCACATTTTCACCCCAAATGTGGTACTGCTTGGCAGAGGACATTAATTTATGGCCCAGTCAGAGGAGTAATTGCCACATAAATCATATCTAGAAAGTCTGCAGAACCAACACTTGCCTCACAAATATATAGCAGATGATACCTGCAGAATTTTGCAGTAACTTGAACCGCATGGCCTAGTTTGAGAGTGGAAAACTCAGAAAGTCAGAAGATGACAGGAGTAAATGAATGGGGGTCTAAGTACACTTCATGTACGCGATGTACCGGGTGGGTCATCAGAAAAATTTTAGTCAATTTTCAATAAGAAAAGCAGCCCGTTTTAGTATTGAAATTTGCATTTTGTCCGAAATCTTTGTCGAATTTTATAAATAAATAATATTTCCAACATTTGCGTTGTTATGATACTGGAATTATGTTAATTTACTTTGATATTTTCAAGAAAATGTGACTTCAAAACTAAGAACAATAACATATTAATAAATTGGGAAAGAAAAAGCGCAAACTGCGCCATCTAACTAAAAAACTTTAAAACCGGTGAAGATGAGCTATATATATATAGGAAATTTGAGACTTGATTGTTCTAGTTTTTTCACCTTTCTCACTCAAATTATAGTCAAATATAATAATTATTACACTGAATATAAGGCAATTTAAGAAGAGATGTTTTTAGCATCTGCTCCAACAGTCTCAATAAGAGTTTTGGCAGGGGTCTGTATATAGAAAAGTTCCCTCACCATACACTCAATGTGATACGTTATAAAGATATTTGTTATAACATAAATCAATCAATATGCTTACCAAGTGTCCGTTTTATAACAATGAGAGTTTCAAATTTCCCTGCGAATTTTTGATTGAATATATAGCTGCTCAATCCAAGTAAGAGTTTCTAGCCAACAATTTACAAACATGCATTTAAAGATTTTCGAAGCAAAATATCAATTTTTCTGCAGGTTTTTCGAAATACTGTACACAACCAGCAAAATATTTTTAACGGATCAATTTCGAAATACGAACAAATTTTTGTTAGAAGGCTATACTATACAAATATTGTCATAATGGATCCTATTAAAAATCTCATTTCATAGAATATTATTGAAAATATTTGACAACAAATTGATTTTATTGTAAATGCATATACGGTATGGGATGACAACAGAACGTTATTTTAGTTTCAGTATACAGTATACTGTACAGCAGTACTCCACTTTGTTTTTAAGGACGATTTTCCATTCCCCAGCAGTACTTGAATTCAATTATTTTGATAGTTCAGATTCCTTCCGAATCGTGAATAAATTGCTCATTAA